GAACGTTCTTTTTAAATAAAACCCTTTTAACGGTTTACAACGGGAAATGTATTAGTACACTCAATACAAATTATTTTAACTACGTTATTGATGCTTGCAACAGCCGTGGTCACGGGGAGACTAAACATGGTAGGTCTAAGTAAAAAGTAGAAGTCAAAGTAGAAACGCCAAGGTGTATTAAAGAATTTGTAAATAATTAACACATTTCGCGTTTAAGACCGTTAAAAGTGTTTTATTTAAATAGTAGGGAACTGTCTTAATTCGATAGAACATTTTGGTCTCAACGCCGAACACTAAAGTTTAAATAATAGTTTACGCGTTTCAAACCGTTAAGTGTCTTAATTATATGTAATCGCGTAAACTACATACAGAACTTAGTTTTTATTATTATTATTATTTAATTTAACTTTTTTACACTATCATTTTATTTACATTAATAAACCGTATAAAAACCGTTTATCGGTTTATGCGAACCGGCTTCGGTACCTTCGACATACATCTGTAAAAGCTCTTTAAACCCCCTGCATCTATCCGGCCTATCCAACAGCATGTCGTGCGTATTACTGTCCAAGTCGTTCAAGTACAGAGGTAACATGTACTGCCAGGTACGTTTGCCATACGAATTGATCGTTAGCGGCATTTCATACCTGTATATAATCAAGTTTCCTTAATTTGTCTGGTCTAACTCTGTACTTGAGCGACGGAACGTTTTCAATTTCTTCACAAAGTATAAAATATTCGACTTTATTGAAAACGTTGAATACTCGCAGTACTCAAACAAACCACCCTCGCTTCCTATGTACTTCGCTCCAACCGATTTTGGTACAATTGCAATAAATATCTTGTAAAACAGATGTAAATGTTCGTCCATAGCTACTAAGCCCGTATCCGGTAACTGAGTCCGCCAGGGCGTTGTACGAAAGCTTCATTGTAGAAAAGGGGAGCCTATATTTGAGCACCGCAAAGTTAGACAGAATAGCCCTCAACGTATTGCAGATCCTTTCCACGTGTAGTTTCCAATTAAACTTATTGTCGATTAAAACACGTGTGTGGCGTGTTTAGAGCGACATTCCGCAATACAAAATATTCCGATACGTCAACGAATCGATTTGTTTTTAATAGAAATAATGTGCGTTTGTGCGATAACCTTTACAATAAACGAATTACAAAATAACAGCCAGTTTTAAGACGAAATAGTTACTAGATAAAGGTTCAAAAATTTCTCAGTCGTAGACATTTTGACTTACCACAATAACACTGTGGCGGTGTTAAATTTTAGGCAATAATCAGACTAAATTATATAATTTTCGGCGACAAGGATCCATTGATAAAATACATGTAATTAAAGTAAATAAGTGAATATCATACAGTAGTTAGGTAAAGCTGAAATAAACTAGGAGCTTTATAATAAAAAGTATTGTGTAATAGAAAAATACTAAAAGATAAATATGTCGTACTTTAAGTGTCTAAAATCACTGCCACACGCCAGAATACAAAAACTAAATAATTTTATATTCAACGCTCATGACGGTCGCAAATAAGGTTTTTCGGAAGAAAAGGTTTCATTGTAAAACGCTAAATAATTACGTTATATAGAAATTACAGAAGGAGCATTAGTTATTCATCAGTGGAAATATGGAAACAGACATTTCTTGGTTGACTAAGCCAATTAAAAGGAGCTTTAAAGTTTTCTTCCTTGAAGAAACTACGCCGAAGTGAGACTTCCAAGAACACGATTTCCATACGCTTCGCTATAATAAATCTAGGATATATGTTCCACACATCTTGACATCTTGGAAAGCAATATGCACAATATTATTTAAATCAGATTATGTTTAGCAAAAAAGTGTGCTATTTTTTAGAATAAAGTTGTGTTGTGTGCTACGAGACGAGAGCGTACAGAACTCGAATAAGTATTTGTTCACGCTTCTTTGTATTAATTTTTGAATAGATAGAAAAAATAAAACGGTTTTAATCAATGACAAAAGATCATCGTATCTCCTCAAAAGTTATGAGTCATTTTACAGCGACTAAACTAATAAATAAGACGGCTTGATCACAGTGATTTTAGCAGATAGCAGATAGTCAATGACAAACTGAAGAGAATCTAATACAAATCAAGAGTAACCTTACGATTCTATAAGAAAACTTCATCATGATATTATTTTGAAAATTCTTAAACATTGATACTTTAAAACGAAAGACGATAAAGTTACTTACATCAACTAAGTCTATTTAGTTTCACATAGGAAATGAAGGATTACGGCGTCCGAAATGGCATTCAAACATTTTAAACCATATTTTCATAAAACGACTTATTTATAAAAGTATAAAATCAAATTTTATTATTTATAACATTATTATAAACTTCATCGACTATCTAAAATTGTCACAGAGATGTAATACGCACGAAGAGGCACAAATTGTAACATTTTGAAGCAACATATACACACATTTGGCTTTTTATGTGAAAACCTTTGTATTGAAAAAATCTGTTCGGAGTTATTTTATTACATGTTTCGAACCTATAAATCTGAAATTTATAATTATTTTGTCACTTTAATAAAGCACTATGCATATTACAAATCTGCGTTTTTTTAAATTCCTAGTAAAAAGTACTTTGATTTTGAAAAATCATAAGTATTAAATTTATTATTTACTAAATAGTTTAAAAATATAGTCATTTTTATATATCCATAGTAATTGCAATTTGCATTATTCTCCTTTATTAATCGAAGCCATTTACGGACATAAGAATGGTGGGGTTACATCAATTTTAATTTTATTACTGCGCATGCGATTTTTTCAAGTGATTATCTATACATTTAGTGTATTTTTTCTAACTTGACAATTTTGGTAAACAAACACAATTTAAATGAAATCAAGATTTTCTCACAAGATTATATTCACTCAGATTCACTTAGTACAAACCGTAATATGATACTAAAATTCTTTAGTTTGACATTTACATAAGGAAATAATGCAAGCAAAGTCAACGACAATCGACGGTAGAAGTCCTACTCATGCATGGTCGCTGAAAAGCGTTACAAACATCGAATGAAATAATAATGGCAATTAAAAATGTCGCCATAACAGTAACTTTGAATATTATCATCCTTTGGTTTACATATAATCGATATTTCCTCATCCATGTGTCATTAGTGGCAACAACTTTGTAAAGAATAAATTGTGTAAGGCTTTCACGGCCATCGTTCAGCAGAAGAATTAATTCTTCGAGCAATCGAGGAGTCAACATCTCCTGATGTTGATGCAGTCCACACGTGATGGCGAAACGTCGAGAACCTCTTCTCGCTCACATCAGCCGAACAGCCCGAAAGACAATGATAAACTTTGTAAAGATCATCACTAGCTCTCTATGGTTTGAAATCGGCCATATTTGTTGGGATCTTTTGCCAAGTTAGAAAAAACAAATTATAGTATATTATAGCTTCGTTCACGCAAAGATAAAACATCTTGTATTCCACACGGATACATAGCACAGTAATGAAAATTTATCGATTGAAGGTCAAATACATTTCGCCCTAAAGACTTGGAAGAGGATATAACGTGGTTCACAGCAAGGCTCTATACACTACTACACTGAGTACTTTATGTGATACGTACTAACTGTTAGTCCTCTAAATATGCGTTATACATTTACGAAGGTCGTTTTGTAAATTGCTCTTTTGCTTTAAAACAATACGCCATCTTCACTAAGATTACAGTATTTGAATTATATCCAGAAATAACTGTTTAAATCCGAATGATCGATCTGGGATTTCCTTAACCATTCTCATGTTAAACAGATGATAAAATGAATTTCCAATATTTCAAATACCGGATCGCATACACGGATAGGATAATAACAGGAGAAAAAAATTAGAGCTTTATTCATCATTGATACAAACTCAACTGCATGATTCCCGAAAATCTCTACAAAAATGAAATCCTTTGTTTTATAGATAACACAAATATTGATTAATATTGTTGCTACCTCAACATTTTATCGTTCATTGTGTGTGCCCTGACCGACCGAACGTTTTAATCTTTGGCATTATATTGAAAAGAGATAAAATCTGATACAATTATAATTGTTATATAGAACGCAAGTGGTTTCCAAAATTTAATAACAAAAGAACACTTTTATAAATTGAATTGGTATGTGTAATATAAAATGTATAATAATATTTTTTTTATTGTGAATTCAGTGAAGTAACAAACAAAAAAAAACATCCGAGCGATTTCTAAAAACCACGATTTGTTCCTGCAAACTACTGTTTCAAAAAACTGAGGACTAATTGAATTTGTCGTTTGTTTAGATATAGTCAACTACGATAGTTATTTAGACTAAATGGATGTTTATAAATTTCATTCAGGGGTTTCGCGGAATCAGAATTGATTAAATATATTCTGATTGTTATCGTACAACGTTCGTAATATGAGTTTTTAAGTCGCATATTTTTTAAACGGTTTAAAAGGATACCTTATATTTTTTAAAGTACATACCAATATTATAGTTTCGGTCGGGCAAGGCACAAGTTTGATAAGAAAGACAATGCTTGCCTTACATAGAGAGTTTGACTATTTTTGACAGATGTCAAATATCAAAGCTTTGATAATGATATTTTTATAAAACAATCGTAATGAATTTTGAAAGAAAAAAAACCGTTAGTGTGAAAGGTAGCAATTTTAATTAGATAAGATCATGTAACAAGGAAAAGCATAGACGAAATGAACAGCTTTGAAACAAGATTTTGTAATTAGAGGGAGACGCAAATATTAACAAGAGCAGCGAGAGCGAATAACGGATTCTGGGAGAGAGGGGGATGGGTGAAGTGGTAAGTATCATCACACGTTAAAATTATGCACAAAAATTGGGGTTTGTTTATTATAAGAGTAAAGATGTTGAAATCTCCGAGAGTGTACCTAAAGTTACGTCATGAATGATAGGCGTTTATCGGTCGATAGTTCGAGATGTTTAGGCGAGAATAGGCCGTAGCTTAGACGAAGTCTAGGAAGAAAGCGTTGCTGGTGCAGTTGCCGTTGTCGGAAGGTGAGTCCGGGTGCTCTTCAGGTTCCACACCGTTGGTGCGCATGTCGTCACGTACCTGCAACATAAAATCACATTTAGTTCTTCCTAACTTCCATAGCAACTTCGACGGAACAGATGCAGCGTAGCAGTTTTTTACTTTGCCTTCAGAGATAGCCTCTATCTTTAGTCTCCCCGTGACCACGACTGCTGCAAAGCATCCGAAACGTCGGGCTGTACTTAAAAAAAATCTAATAAGTTTTACTCAAATTTATCGCGTTTTAAACCGTTAAAGTGTTTTATTTAGAAGCCCTTAGCATTATTTTTATATATTACGACATTGTTTTTTACACTTTAAAAAAATTGAATAATTTAGCGAAATTAAATTTTTTATTGCCTTCCCATCTTTTCCCACTCCGTCCTGTCTCTTGTTTTTCTCCACCACGTTTTTGTAAGATGCTGGATGTAATATAAACATCTTCTTTTGGGCCTGTCGATCTTCCGTTGTGGAAGAAGAATGTATATTTTTTAACTTAATATTACGGCTACTTTAATAATGTAATGATCGCAAATAAAAACTGTTTTCATTCATTCAAATGCTGCTTTATAAAATAATCGATAATCGATAACCGAAAGCAATCAAATTGATGTTGATTGTGACAATTCGCTGGTAGATTTTGAATACGGCACGTAACACGTAAATAATTGAACGTCGAGAGAGCATAATATGGCAACTTCCGCGCGGCAACCCAATATATTTTTAATCTGTACACAAATGGGTTTCGATTTTCAAATAAGCACAGATAATAACCACGACTGTAATCACAATGAGTTTGAGGTTCAATTATTTCAATTAATCTGATCAAATTCCTGGAATTATTATGTTCCAGTTGCGATTGCTTTCACTGCTAATATGCCACTAATTACTAATTAAGTTTATGCATTTGTATCGAATTTTTGCAGTACAAAAATCTATACTAATATTATAAATGCGAAAGTAACTCTGCCTGTCTGTCTGTCCGGCTTTAACTCCGAAACTACTGTTTGGTATACAGATATTTTAGAGCCAAAATTTAATGCCAAAAGAGGGTTGATAGGGGTTGAAAAGGGGATGAAAGTTTGTATCGACGTTCGTGGTTTTTGAAGCTAGAACAATTAAACTTTCTTCGTTGGCTTTTTGGGAATAGGAGCGGGAGTGGGAGTGGGACTGAGAGTGCGAGTGGGAGTTAGAGTAGGAGTGATGTGAGATTGCGGCAAAGTAGCACAACATAGATTGGCTGCCTTAAATGCGCCCTTACATAAATTAATATACAGCCTAAATTTTTAAAAATTATATCCCACTATTCACTATTCCACGTGGACGAAATCGCGGGCACGGCTAGTAGCCTATATGTTTAAAAATTCTATTAGTATTAGTAATTCTAAAGTAGTATTATAATAGTACAAGAGTTAAGAATAAGTATTCATTTGTTTAGAATAAATACTGTCTGTTTACGCGAGTAATACACATTTAAATGAATCACTTCAACGGTTTAAAACGCGATATATTAGTTACTTATTTGAAAATTATTTTAACTTCGGCCCGACGTTTCCGTGGCTCCGCGTGACCACTGCTGTTGAAAAGGATCCGTAACGTCGGGCCGAAGTTAAAAATTAAACTGTTAAAGGTGTTTATTTAAAAAATGTTTAGAATAAATTCAAAATCGATTATAAATTGAAAAAGAAAACGAGCGCTGTGGATGACGGTTCAATACCTGCACGTGGCGTAATTTTTTGCAATTTATAATTGATTTAATTTATTCTAAACATGTGAAAAATATTAAACTTTTCCAATATTTCGAATATACAAAAATATGAAGTGAAATTAAGACGGTACCTCCAAAAACACCCTCATAATTTTCAAGATTCATTCACCTTTACTCATATTGTATTAAAAGCTACCGCTCGATATTGTCACTTTAAATAACAACACTAATAAACAGTTCGAACCCTCATAAACATATTCCCTTGAATTAATCATAGCCTGCTAAAAGTTTACAAAAACGAAGAGCTGTTACTTGTTAGTGGGTATCGCTCCCAGCTGTCGTTTCACGGGAAACACCTGCGTTCTTTTCAGTTAATCGTACAAGTTCGTTCAAAATATCTTTTCCCTTCGCTTAGAGTAAGGATACGACGACTTGAATTTCGCGCATGACCTTTAATATTTAACAACTTAGGAGTTTTAGGGAAAATGTTAAGCGGGCTGGTATGGTTACTTGTTAGCAATATATGGCTAACGATTAATGAATCGTGGGTTCTGACCAAATTCCTAATCAGTTATAATTTTTCTAAAACATATAGGACATCATCTGGAAATCTGGATATTAAATAAGTGGTAGAAATATCGAAATTCCATCACGAAGCCCTGTCCACAGATGAAAAGCCGTCAAGCTTAATCGCGTTTCGGTTTTATTTTGTGGATTTCCGAATATCCAAAGCCAAAGTAGGTCCATTGCGCATCTTGTATAGATGTTATACAGCTGGGGTATTTCCTAATCGATGTGTTTTACAATGTGAATGCTAAAAATACCCATTTATTACTCACCACCACCACCACTTTGTTTTAGTGCTGGTGGTCTAGTGGTGGTACCCTTAATATAAATACCACCAGTAAATTATTTGTAGGTGGTGCACTTTTTTATGATTTTTTTTATGAAATGTGTTTATTTGTTTACTTTTCTTAATTTCAAAATTCTGAAAGATGAATAGATACATGATCTCAGTCTGTAAATACTGAACTAACGAGGCAATCACTGAATACACGATTGGAAAAACTCGACTCAAAATTCTTGTTGATTTAACGATAGAACTTTTTAATATGTACAATATATATATATATATATATATATATATATATATATATATATATATATTGTGACAGTACTTTTCGAGAGATTAAAAATGATTTTTCATGAACATTCTATAACATATTGTAGGTACTCGATAGTCGATTAGGGCATATACCTAACACTGTAAATTGGAACTTCTACATCGATACCAGGACTGTAAGGTTCCGTTCTGAGAAGTCGTCTCTTCAAGACTGATGACGACGATGAGAGGTCCTCGGGAACATCAACTGTTCTTAAAGTAGTACAGAATTTTGTTTTTAGAACCCACTCATACTCTGTCTTACCAAATCACATGTTTAAATATAAAGTTTTCCCTAACAGAAACGAACTTGACGTATTGGACTCATGGATGAAGCTAACGATTTAGTATTTCTTACTTTTTCGACTTGTCGCATGACCCGAAGCATGTTTAATCCAGCTAAGTTCTTAAGCTCTTGCACGGTCCACTGCCCACTTCGGAGGAGTTCAGCAAATAGATCCGGGTATCTGGACACGTCTTCTAGGCCCCTAGGTACCCTGGATAGAGATTAAATTGTTAGTGTATTTTAATACGCTAAAGACAAACATAATTTTTAGTATCGACAAATTAATACAAAAAATTAATAAGTTATACATATTTGAAAGAAAGTGATATGACATAAGGCCAAAATATATATGTACTTCTTTTTAAACAGTTTTATTTAGCTCGACCCATACGGGAATTTATTTATTTGAGTCAAAATTAGAAATTGAAATTTAAGCACCTTCCCGTTGTCAGATTTATCTGAAATTTGGTACACACATTTAATTTAGATGGCGATACAATATAATACAATAATATAATCAAAAATATTATAAATCCAAGATGGCCGCCGATATAAAATGGCGGATTCCAAGTTTTTCCTTGACCCCCTCAATATGGGTATCAAATGAAAGGGCTGTCCTAGTCCACGAAATATCATTATATACAACTACTAACTAGACTAATGAACTATCTTGAATTACTTCAGTAATGTAGCAGTGTTTTAACCAGCTAAGTCATTTACTTACAAGAATTGATTCGAATTGACTAAGCAAAAATAAGCTAATAAGAGATGTAGAAGCCCTTGAACTCTTATCCCTATTCGATAGGACTCACACAATAAAATTCATTTCAACAAAATGTTATGTAAATTTGAACATGTTTTTAAAAATAGAACTAGTTGTTTCGGCAAACATTCTCTGCAATGGTCTGCAAGATTAAAATTATTGTGATAATACAACTTTAACAAATAATAAAAAAATAATAATAATGCATAATTTCGACCGAATTTAGTTTTCATAAAAGCGGCTCTTGCCTAAATCTTAAATGATAGACATGAGCCGCCTCGGAGATTTTGTTAAAATCATTCAGAGAGGAATCATTCTTTCCTACATATTCTTTCGTTTCTTGAACCACGTTCCACGTACGCAATTGAAACCGTCAAATCTAACTAATTTTCCCCGTTTTTCCTACATTTTCCATTGTTTCTTCGCTCCTACTGGTCGCCTTCCTACCTTCCTTAGTAAACGATCTATTTCAATTCGAACCAATAGTTCCTGAGTTCAAACACATTCTTCAGCTTTATAGGCATAGATAACAAGTAGGAATTATGAAGCGTAATATATTCTTAACTCAAAAGGTTCTTAAACAATGGGGCGCATAAATCGGCTACATGGAAAAGGGGACTCGCCTTCGGGCCACAACCCATATAAACGGAAAGTAGCGAACTCGGCCAAATGTGTCGCTACGCTGGAAGCCAATTGCAGTGGGAAAATATACAACCATTTACCACTTTGAAGATGTGTGGAAAGTGAATCCCTTTTGTCCTAGGGCAACTTCAAGGTCGACTGATAAGCAAGTAGAAGGCGGGGCAAGACCGAATCGATTCGATATTCGAAATTTGAAATTACCCCGCAATAACCAACATCGCATCTTAATGAGTAACGGTTTATTTTAAATTTTCATTAAGAGACAAGACAAACATAGGAAATGAACCCCTATGTTTGTTCTGTCTTCTAATATGAAAAAGAAAAAATATAATACTATAGTAACTTTTCAATCCTATATGAAAAGTACAAAGACAAAATTGTTATAAATGCTAGCAGCTAAAAACCCGTAAAAATACTTCTAACGACCTCAAAAACATTATTTATAAAACTTTAGCGATTTACATTCAAGAAGTATTTGAACTTCGCGAAGTTTTATCATCGATTGGGTTTTTAAAATTCACCGATCTTTGAAACAATAAGGAATTCTTCAGTTAACTCAATTTCTTTAATTATTGTAATTTCTTAAGTTTTCGTGATAGTACCAGATGTACTTTTTAGTAGTTTACTTTAGACTGGATTCTTCTAAAATACTAATGTTTTGTAAGTTTACAAAAGGCTGTTTTCTTACTTTCTCCTTTCTTCTTCCGTTTTACGCTCTTATAATTTACAGTGACCAGACTATGTAACATTCTGTACACTACACGACCGGAACTATCTATCGGGAATATCAGTGTACTTTTTTAATTACCTGTTAACGCCGTCGAAATCACCACCAACGCCCACGTAATCAGCTCCAATCATCCGTTTGATGTAGTGGAAATGTTCTAAAACAAGATTAATATAGATTAATATTATGAAAATGTATCATAAGTCACATTACCCAATACTAAATCAATAACGCTTGGAAAACTTTTTAATATTAAGTTTACAACTGTGATCTTCTAAAGCAAAAGAAGATGGTATCTTGCTTCGGGTTTTTTAATGATAAAGAAGGAAAAACAAGCATGAGATTTACTTGGTGATATACCCCACTATAGCGTCTAAACCTATTTTGGCTTTAACGTGAAACGCGATTAAGCTTCACGGCTTTTTAATCCGTGAACGGTGGTTCGTGATCTGGACGGAATTTCTATATTCCGACCACCCATTTAATGTCCAGATTTCTAGGTGAAGTCCAACATGTTTCAGGAAAATTAAAAATTAGAAACAAATTGCCCACGCCCCGTTGATTATTCGCCATACATATAAAACCAACGAGCCGATCCGTTCCTTTCCACTACTATTTATTGCAAAGATATTATTCTACTTATTTGATGGGCTCATTGCGGCAATGCATGGCTATTAACGGGTCGCGGGTTCGATCCCTACCGGGTCCATGCTTCTAAGCCATTTATAATTCTAAAATACATTGGATTGAGAAATGTATAAAATAAATGGGAATATAGAAATTACGTTTAGGCCACAAACCGCGAGTGAAAAAGCCGTAAAGTTTATTGAATTCAATACAAAGACCAAATAGGTCGACAACACATCTATGCCTGAAGTGTTTCAGCTATAAAAAAATATACTTAGCCAATATTTATCAAGCCAATAAGTTCCGAGATAAACCGGTTTGATTAATTTCTAAAATAACGCTTCCTCAGTTATTGCATTACAAACAAAATCCCCGATTCCAAATACTGTTATTTATAAAAACGCAAATCATCCCGATAAGATGTGATTAATGTCCACGAAATCCGACCAATTATAAGAGTCCCACAATTTAGTATTGAATTCGTAACCGATTTGTAAGCCGTACTAAGTAATGCTGCTTGCAAACCGGTTAATTTTAATACTGTAAAAAATATAACTGTTTTATGTTTCTTTGTATTAGTTAACTTATTCACACACCACAGTCGTGGTCACGGGGGACAGGGCACGACTGTTGTAAAGCTAGTTAACTTAATATTTCGCGTTTTAAACCGTTTAAAGTATTTTATTTAAATGTGCACTAATCGCGTTAACTACTTACGATGCAGCTCATATTTTTGTATCGTACACTTTGCAAATAAATTTACCGTTCGTCTTCGTTTTGTTGTATTACTTATTTTTCTCGTTTATCCTCGCAAGTATTATAAATAGCTAGTTTTAAATTAAAAATCGATTTTAGATTTAACTAATTTTAACGATACGACATGACTTCAACTGGCATCCACAGCGTTCTGTGCTGTTGCTCTAACCAATTGAGCTACGGAGTCAGTTATTTTTTATTTTAGAATTCCACCCTTCCATTAATAAGGTTTAGTATAGTGTCTGTACTTTACGCGAGTAGTACACATTTGAATTTAACACTTTAACGGTTTAAGACGCGCTATATATTAGTTAAACTTATTTGAAAATTATTTTTATCTTCGGCCCGACGTTTCTATTTGAATAATTAAATAGAGTTAGCAATGAAATAATTCCGCATGTTATGTTGGTTGGATATTACAGAAAAGTGCATTTCCCACATGAAATGTGAAATAAAATTAGCTCTATGCTGTCACGAACAGATTATTAAAACTCGAGCTATATGAAACCGGTTTACAATGAAATGTTCAGGTTTGCAGTAGACAAATGCCCCAAATCACTCCCCGAGCCGTGTTCCTTGTTTGACTAATGTTTCGGTAATTCGTGCCGGTATTTCGGGGGCATTTGACACTCGTGAAAATTGTACCAACACAGCTGACATTGTATTACTCTTGCTTTAGATAAAAATGACTAAACATTACATGTCCACATACTTAACAGTGCTTTTGAAAAAAAAAAAAATATGACATAGAAGAACAGACAAGCATGTGGTTTATTTGATGGAAGGTGAAATAACCTAGCAATATGACATCTAAACTAGATGCGTTATCGACCTATTTCGACTTCGGATATTAGGAAATCCATAGATTGAAATCGAAACGCGATTAATAACGCGCGGCTTTTTCATTTGTGACTGTGCGAAATTTTGATATTTCTTCGACCCATTTAATTTTTAGTGTGCGAAACCTGAAAAATGTTGGACCCGGTGGGGATTGAACCCCCGCCCCGTAATTTATTTGGTCTGATTTGTGCTGTTAATTTCAGTAAAAAAATATTCAAATAATTTTTCAGAATTATCACGAACAGCACATGACAAAGCAGTGTCAAGTGTGTCGGAAAAATTATTCCATCTTATAACATCATATCTTGAGAGAAGAATATTGTTATTTTTCTTAAAAGACAGTGCTAAGTATTTGTTTTTTTATATATAAATACAGAATGTTTTTCGATGATTATGATTCGCCTTTACTTACTTTTATTTATCTCTATTGGTTTTGTGAATATTTCTAGTGTATTTAAAATCTCTTCTTCAAATTAGTTCAGCTGATCCAAAGAAGAAATATACTGACAAGAAAAGTTGTTATGACTGCTGTCCTTGGCTGCTAGTCAATAGCTAAACTTACATATAACGAAAAAAGGAAAAGAGGGTAGTTACATCAAAATTGTCTTCGGGTTACTTTGTCCACATTTGTAAAGCATTTATGAGTATGCAACGCCATACCAAGCGATGGTATGGTATGGTATTCAATTTCTTCTATTAAGTTAATCAAATGAAATCAATTTAAAAATCTTTTATTCATGCAGGTAGTAGTACCCTTTCCACAAACCCAAGGACGTATAACGTACGAGAAGAACTGGCAAGAAACTCGCCACTACTCCTTTTGTTACAAGTTGTTACAAGTTTTATCCCCTGCTAGTCTTTTCTCCTCTATCGTAGACGAGTGTAATCTTAGTTTCTTTGAAAGTTATAATGACATGAATGGAACAACAGATTTACGATCTATTGTAAGCAAAAGCATCGTGTTACCCAAATCACTACGAGTATACGTTTCATATCACTGCAACAATAATTCAACTGAAGTTGTGGCAAGTTCTTGGAAACTTCTAGACGTAACTTTAGCCAGCTCGCTTTGTACTTTGTATAGTGTGGCTTCATTATAGTTACATTAACACGAAAAGTTCCGATATTTTTTATATATAAGTTAATATGTACATTTATAAAATACTTTAACTGAATATCGGACTGAATGAATGAACTGACTATCCAAACAGACTGAATATCCAAAGCAGATATAAGTGGATAGCGCATCTAGTTTCAGTAAACAAGGATTATGTATTTAGTAATTATGGATTTTAAAACACCTATTTTTTTACTGTATTTAGTAGTTTATCTTTAGAGTTCATAATCCTTTTACTTTGCGATAAGCGTGCCAAGTCCTGAGTTCTATTTCTGGGGGCAAAAAACATTATATCCACAGAGTAGAAATAAAATCGTTCATCCAATAGACAAGGCACTGTGAGCCATAGGCAAAACTTTCACACTTATGCTTATTAAAAAAGATATACTTGAATAAAAATCTATTTAGATTGACGAAGGTTACTCGGGCGGGAAACGAACTGGCATCACATTGTTCCGTGCTGATCTAACCAAATGAACCAGTATCTCACACGTCATCGTCTTATTTATTAAATAAAATACATGCACCTACCGCGCTATGTAATTTCAACTGTAATCTTGCAAGAACGACGGGAAGGGACGCGAGCGACGTCGTGGGCAACAGCTTAAGTTTATAAAGATGAAGGGATTTGCACAAACAAATTTGGATGTCCAAAACAACGATTCTCGCGGACAAAGTCGCTCACACAGCTAGTTCAATACTAAAATAGAAGCACTAGCTTCCTCTACACTTATAATGTCAATATTTAATCCCTCTCATAAAACAATTTAATTTCATACTTCGTACGAACATTAGGGATATTTTAATTCACAGATTTAATTCTGTCTGCATTTGACTTGCAGACAATGAAAGCGCTTTTGTATTCAAAACGTACTTAAGAATACTTAACGCTAAATGGGAATGACGTTTATATGGGTAATATAAAAACTTATGTATGGGAAAACAATATTATATTTTAACTAGCTGAGTCAGCGGCTTCGTACGCGTAGATTAATTATTTTGGGTATAATTTTGTTTGTGTTTGCAAACCCCCTGTTCAACTCTATAAATTTGAGCTGTTATCCACGACGTCGTCCGCGTCCCGTCGTTCTTGCAAGTTAATCTTAAAAGACAGACATATAGCGTCGCGGACTTTTTTTATATTATTTAAAGAGGAATCATTCTTTCATACATATTTTTTGGGTATCTTGAAACGTTTTCGCAGCGTACGGACTGGAACCCGTCTAAGATGAATAATTTTCCCAGTTTTTTCGATATTTCTCACTGTTACTTCGCCCCTATTGGCCTTCCTCTAACTAACACAATAATAATTTTTCAATTCGAACCAGTAGTTCCTGAGATTAGCGCGTTCAAACGAATAAACAAACAAACTCTTCAGCTTTATATATTAGTATAGATGGGTCAAAATTATTCCTAAATCAAATGCAAATGCATACGATACCTATATAGTAGTTCTAGCTGTGTCAGCTACTTCGTCCGCGTAGATGGTCATGACATCAAAATGTATTTTTGCAAACGTCCTTTTCATCTTAAGAGATTTTACTTATTGCTTATTATAGAATATAGAAGAGAATGGAATTTTATAAAAGCATATTTCAATGCCCACCAGTAGTTCCTGAGATTAGCAAGTTCAAACAAACAGAATCTACAGCTTTATATATTAGTATAGATCATTCATCTATACTAATATAGTCGCCATTGTGGAATATTCTCATGTTTTAAAGAAACGAAGTCACTCCCGGCACCTTTTGGGGCCTCTCCAAAAAACAATTGTAATAGTATGTATGAGAATAAAAATATCGTTGATATAATTTATGTTCCGGGGTGGAACTGCGTGACCCTCTCAATTATTCAGGGCTGACCCGGACTACGTTGAGAGTACTTTTATTTGCTTATTTTTTTTTATACACTTATATAGGAATAAATTCAATTTCAAATGCAAGGCAAGAGAATACATTTTCTATTACTGTAAATATACAATAAAAATAAACGAATTACTAATTAAATACTGTCTATAGTTTACGCGAGTAGTACACATTTAAATAAAACACTAATGGTTTAAAACGCGATATATTAGTTAATGGTCCCCCCGTGACCACGGCTGCTGAAAAGCATCCGAAACGTCGGGCCGAAGTTAAAAATAATTTTCAAATAAATTTAACTAATATATCGCGTTTTAAACCGTTAAAGTGTTTTATTTGAATTACTAGTTTCTCATGGGCGTATTATAAAAATAAAGAGTTTGTCCATTTGTTAGTTTGAACGCGTTAACTTCGGGAACTAGTTTATTGTTTTTATATTGGTTGGGCTTATCGAGGAAGGTCTCAGGTCATTAGGCTGCGACCAATAATAGCGCGCAAAGAAACAGAGGAAAATAGGAAAAAACAGGGATAAATTATTTATCTTTGAGGATTTCAGATGCTTGCGCCCCGAAAACGGTTTAAGAAACCGAAAAAATATGTATGAAAAAAAAAAAATTTCTCTTTAAATGATAAAAAAAATGTCGCGAAAAGTATTCGTTGATACTTTAAGATTAACTCGGAAGAACTACGCAGCGCGGACGTGGTTAACTGCTATAGTTTATAAGGCTCAGAAGGTTAGCAAAAATAAATAATATGACAGCATAATAACTATTCTACGTGGACAAAGTCGTGGGTACAGCTAGTATATTATAAACTTTCTTACCAGCTACGTCAGAGATGGTCGCGTTTGGAGAGCACTTCACGAAATCCGGAAAGAAGTTCACCATTATGAGACCGCCATTCTCTTTCTGCAAAGAAATTTCGACATTCAAATATAAAATGTACACTATAAAGTCAAAAAGTTTATCGGCTTTGTTTGAACGCGCTTATTTTAAAAACTAGAGGTTTGTGTAAGTTTTTAATGGTTTTTGGTAGACAGATAGAAAACAATTAATCAAGATTGTAGCGAGCTTGGCTTGAACTTGGATAATTGGTAACATACAAGTCTTTTTTTTTTTTTTTACTTGGAGGAATCGACTCTTTACCGACAGTCCCGCCTGGCCACATCGAGTGGCGACATACAAGTCATGCCATGACTTGACTTGACACCGTCCCATCAAAAAGGTAACTAGCCAGTTTACCTTTTCGATGTAATGTTTATAAGATAATTTTAATAATAATTTAGCCTTTCGTGTCAATACATTAACCATTTCGCAATACACACAAACGTCTGTAGTTCACGCGAGTAGTTCACATTTAAATAAAACACTTCAACGGTTTAAAACGCGATATAATATTAGTTAAACTTATTTGAAAATGATTTAAACTACGCAGCCGAACATTTCGGATGCTTTGCAGCAGCCGTGTCTCCCCGTGACCGTCGGGCCGTAGTTACAATAATTTGCAAATAAGTTTAACTAATATATATTGCGTTTTAAACCGTTAAAGTGTTTTATTTAAATGTGAAATCCCGTTTGCTGTATGTGGGATGCGTCGAACATATTTCTGTGTCCGTTTCACTATTCTGTTTTTTTACAAGTACTTGACTAGACTGCACTTAGCCTGACCGGAACAATCTATTGTTTCCCCAGAAAACCCAGGACCTCTCGTCCTTAACGCAATGTCTGTAACACGTAACCATTTAGCTACAGAGGCGGTCGTATTTGAAAGCATAGGCTTAGAAGTTTGAAATTGCGTACACATATAGTGGGTTATAAGTAATCAAACCGAAGTGATAATATATCAGCTTTGAACAAGGTGTAAGCACTAGTCACTAGTCGGATAATATTTGTCATGACTACGTCTCTACGAGTCAATAATGGCATTTGTAGGTGTGAATCTAATATCAGGTCAAAATACAATACCGGGTCATGCAATACTAAACAAACCAGAACCGACGCCACTCGAACCAGACAATGGAGACAAAAGGAAGCGAGTCTACACCAAATTGGAGTTGTTTAATATTGAACGAGTTTGACCATGCACTTTATATTATAATCTATGCGAAAAGTGGTATTTGTTTTAAACTAGCTGTGCCCGCGCCTTCGTTCGCGTGGATTAGTGACTTGGGGTAGAATTTTTAATTATTTAGGCTGTTTATTAATGTATGTAATTGCGCATTTATCGCAGCCAATCTATGATGTAAGTGTTACTTTGCCGCAACACTCTCACCTCACATCACTCCCACTCCCACTCCCACTCCTATTCCCAAAAAGCCAAAGAAGAAAGTTTTATTGTTCTAGCTTCAAAAACCACGAATTTCCATACAAACTTTTACCCCCCCTTTTAAGACCTTACAACCCCCTTTTTTACAATAAAAAGCCTATGTCCTTTCTTAGGGTCTAGACCATCTGTGTACCAAATGTCATTCAAATCCGTTTAGTAGTTTTGGCTTGAAAGAGTAACAGACAGACAGTTACTTTCGAATTTATAATATTAGTAAGGATTTACTCTGTCTGTAGTTTACGCGAGTAGTACACGTTTAAATAAAACACTTTAACGGTTTAAAACGCGATATATTAGTTAAACTTATTTGAAAATGATTTTTAACTTCGGCCCGAGGTTTCAGTCTCCCCGTGACCACGGCTGCTGCAAAGCATCCGAAACGTCGGGCCGAAGTTAAAAATCGCTTTCAAATAAGTTTAACTAATATATCGCGTTTTAAACCGTTAAAGTGTTTTATTTGAAGGATTTACTCGTGAGTTATACACGATGTTTTACAAGAATGAAGGACAAACAAGCTAAAGCTTAAGGTTCACATTAAGATACGCTGTTGATCTACTTTGGTGTTCTTTATATAGAAATACCTAGACTGATACTGAAATGCGATTCACTTCATCGGTGGATCAGCTCTTCCATGAGTCGATGTTGGTTCATGTCCCGAACACAATTTCGATATTTCTACCACCTATTTAATATTCACATTTGCAGACGAAGCCGAACATGTTTGAGAATAATTAAAAATTGATGATAACCGCAGTTTTGGTAAAGAAAAGTCATAATTAAAAAGATGTTGGGTCTGGTGAGAATCGAACCCGCGACCCGATGATTATTAACGTACGTACAATTGTGATCGGATGCGATACTTAATCCAGCATTCTTCGCATCACGTTTCGAACTGTACTGTGTTTGCACATAGCGCGGTAATTCAAAGATTGTGTAGCTGGTATAAGTTTAGCTGTTCCGGATAACCTCGGAGTAAGGAAACGAAACGCCTCTTGCATGATTAGTTAAATACAAGCAAATTACTGTTGGAGCAAAACTTTGTTTTCGTGAGAACATTAACTAGAGAGCGGGTCTTAAATGGATTTTAAGTGATGTGTGTGCGTTTAAAATAAAACAATTTAACGGGTTAAAACGCGATATATTAGTTAAACTTATTTGTAGATTATTTTAACTACGGCCCGACGTTTGTTTGTTTTGCAGCAGCCGTGGTCACAGATAGACACAACCGTTAAAGTTTTTTATTTAAAAGGATTTAACTTATAAAGTACTAGATTATGGGGAAACGTACTTAAAATAATTTTCAAACCCAGTGAACTAATATATGTCACGTTTTAAACCGTTAAAGTGTTATATGTAAATGTGTACTACTCGCGTAAGCTACAGACAGTATTTGATGTATATGTGAGTGTGTGTGTTAACAAATTCTTAACGATTATTTTCTTCACAAATCCTTATATGATGCTTAAACTAATTTTAAAATATGCTTAAATTGTAATTATTACATCGGGACAGCTTAAAACCTATAAATTTGTAATTAAGTTCGCAGCAAATAATTATTGATACACGTACATCGGTAACCCATGTCTATCAACTGGTCGGCCGATTAATCCGACAACATTTGTCATTACAAGGTTAATTGTCGAATGGCCGGGATCTCAGCTACAAATTAACTATCTATACTTACTAATATATAAAGCTGAAGAGTTTGTTTGTTTGTTTGAACGCGCTAATCTCAGTAAGTACGGGTTTTGTGTTAGTTAGAGCATTTATCGAGGAAGGTTATAGGCGATACATTGCGATATGACTAATAGGAGCGAAGATACAGCGAGAAATGTAAACAAAACGGGGGAAATTCTCTTCATCTCTGTAGGTTTCAGATGTGTACGCTGTGAAAACGGTTTAAGATACCTAAAAACTGTGTAAGAAATAATTATTATCCTATAAATGATCTAAAAAAAAGTCCACGACGCTATCTTTTAAGATTAACTTGCAAGAACGACCCGAACGAAGAAACGCGTACGACGGGATACGAATATCGTGGTTAACAGCTATCTACACTAATATTATAAAGAGGGAAGATTTGTATTTTTGTATGTAACGGGTAAACTCAAAAAGTAATGGACCGATTTTAATAATTATATTATTTAAATAAATTATAGATTTTAATAAAATTATACATACGAAAGTAACTCTGTCTGTCTATCTGCCCGGGTTTAACTCCGAAACTACTGAACCGATTTGAATGAAATTTGGTATATAGATATTTTAGAGCCTGAGACAGGACATAGTCATTTAATGCCAAATAGGGGTTAATAGGGGTTGAAAAAGGCGATGAAAGCTTGTATGGAAATTCGTGGTTTTTAAAGCTAGAACAATGAAACTTTCTTCTTTGGTTTTTGGGAATAGGAGTGGGAGTGAGAGTGAGTGTGAGTGTAGGAATTAAAGTGGGAGTGGGAGTGATGTGAGGTGAGAATGTTTCGGCAAAGTAGCACATACAACATAGATTGGCTGCCCTAAATGCGCCTTTACATAAATTAATAAACAGCCTAAATAATTAAAAATTCTACCACAAGTCTTTATTCCACGCGGACGAAGACGCGGGGACAGCTAGTTCATTAATAATTGTTTCGTCAAAACTATCCTTTAGATATACATATGCACGAGTATTTAGTTGATTAAAGTGAATTTCAGTGGCTATTTGCTATTTCTATACTTTTGCGCGAAATGTATCTCAGGTTTTTAAGTTTTAAGTTCGTAGTGCTAATCTATTACATTTACCAAATCGACTAAATATTATTGGATATGCGGAAACGTCAAATAACACCTGTGACTTGAGGCTTCCCCATAGTCGATATGATGGCATTGACGTTTGACAAACCGTCATTGTCAGATGACAGACGGTTATTGACATTTTTTATTTTTAAATAAATGACGTTATTTAAAAATAAAAAAATGTAAATAAATTATGGATTTCTGCTGCTGTGACACAGCCTTGTGCCCAGCGAGTAGTCTAGTTCTAATCGTGAAACGATAAAGTCTTGTTTAGAGTCAATATATCTCGTAAACGGTCGGTTACATTAAAAGTTACTACCGCTGCGCTTCCAAAAGTAATCGTTTTATATTGATTTAAGCGTTGCGCATTTTTTAATTATTCGTTTTAGAGTATTAAAATAGTTTTTTATACAAAAGACGTGTATGTTGTCGCTTCGTCATATATAAAATTGTTACAGTCTTTACATTTGAATTCCTAAAATGGACACCTTGTTAGTTACACGTTTGTACTTACCAAGGATTGTATTATGTCGTCAGGTACGTTCCGTTTGTGAGAACAGAGGCTGTATACCGACGAGTGGCTGAAAATAACCGGTGCTCGGGAGATCTTGATGGCAGCTCTTGTTGTATTTTCACCCACGTGGGAAAGATCTACAATCATGCCGAGACGATTCATTTCCCTCACCACTTTCTGTGAACAAAATATTCACCTCAAACACATTCCAGGGTGTTGCGAATATGTAATTAAGCGTAATTCAAAAATGTAAATATCTATTCAGGTGGCAAAAAGGTTTGATCTGGAAACCTTTATAAGAGGATAAAAAAACCAGTACCAGAAAATCCAGCTCTTCTATATCATTAAATCTACCTTAATCGATCTTTATTGAATCATGCCAAGACGTGTTTTTTTTTATTTATACCTTTTCTACCCGTATTAGGCCTACTAGTCAAGTAAATTTTACGATGATATAATATGGATTAGATATTTTTTTATGATTCTATTATACTCGTTAAAAACCTACAAACGACGCACCAACATTCCATTTACGCGTATAGCTAAAAGAACCTCGTGTGCGCCGACCTTTATCTAATTAGGAATGTTTTTTTCTCAGTAGAAGATGGATCTCATCAATCAACGCTTTTCGTGAGTTGAACACTTATTACGATGCTTTTCCTCGTTATTATACTCGTCGTACCTAAGAGGTGTGTATTTTTAGAACATCCTGTATTTATAAGCGATTTTTTTCGTAACAGTAGCGCGTTTCTAGAGCAATTAATCGTTCGGCGTAGTTACTACCCACTTCAACAGAATGAGATTTACCCATCCCAATATTGTGTCATTGGGTGTCGCACAATTGATCGGGCCTATTGACACAGAATACTAAAACCAATAGGAGTATTCAGATACTACGCCGGCTGCCAAAGACGGACTGCAAATAATTATATCAAAATACTTGGTAATATATTGTCGATTCTTATTTTACTCGAATTAAAATTTATCAGACAAAAAATGTTGTTATAATTAATGACTGACTCCCTTGGCACACCACACACCGCCTTGACTAGACTTGGCACCCATTTAATCCTCTTTTACTTTGTCATTGATATCAACAGCCAAAGCATATATCATAATATGGAACTTGGCTTTCATTTCACATTTATTCTTTTTATATGATTAATACTATTCTTATAAACCGCGGATCGGGCTGTTTCGTTAGCTATAGAACTACTCCAATTTCGAGTAGCTAGGAAGGCTCACTGCCGATCTATTTAGGCTTTGTATATTCGAACAACTAAAACCGACACGCGATTAAACTTCACGGCTTTTTAATCTGTGGACTGTGGTTCGACACCCACGCGCAGTTTCGATTTTCCTACCACCAATTTAATATCCAGATTACCACACGAAGTCAGACATGTTTAAGAAAGACTGTAAACTGATTAGAAAAAGGTTTCACCCGGTAGGGATGTAACCCACGACCCGTTGATTGTTTATTAGCTGTACATTGCTTAGATGAGCCCGTCTTTAGATTTATTTAAATCGTCTAAATTGAACTGCGACTTCTTTGTTTACTTTGGTACTTAGGTACTTACATAGACTTCATAAGATGAAAAATTTTAAACGTCACTTAAAATTGTATTCGTCAAGTTCCACGTCCGACTCGTTCATAAATATTCGCAGAGTATGCGAAGCCAATACATCACAGTTTTATTAAATGAAAATATTCGGATTTATTTGATATTTGCTGAAATATTCGTCGCTTTGCAGCACACTTTGCTGTATATAATGTTATACTTGCTCGTACAATGCTTTTCAGCTTTGTGAAAAGTACCGAGGGTAGGTAGTTTTATAACGTTACGTACTTTATACAACTACCGACCACCTCTGCAGCCAAATGCTTAAACATATTGCCTAGCATTGTATTATGCGCGAGAGGTCCTGGGTTCGAATCCCAGAGGAACAAACAAATGAAACGGACACAGAGATGTGTTCGCCCCAGGCCCCACGAGGGGGTAACAGGATTTCACATACACACACTTTATACAACTACCCTACTCATTTGTTATTGTATGTTACTTACGTTTAGTCAGAAAGTCTTTAATAATCATTTAATAAATGCACCAGAACAAATTGCTAGCTGGCAGGCTCCTTCGGGTCGTGGATTCGCTACCCACCAAATCAAATATTTTGTTGATTACTTTAAATATTACTACATATATATCATGTTTGTAAATGCGTGCTACGAATACATATAAAAAGCCATGAAGTATCGCGTTTCAGTCTGTCTATTATCAAAAGACAAAATAGGTCGATAGCACATCTACTTTAGATTTCATATGGCTGATGTATTTCACCTACCATCAAGTAATGCTTGCCTGATCTCCTGCATCATATAAAAACCTCTAGCTAAATGTTAGCATAAAGTATTCGCGTCACTATATGCTTTCGTGAACATTGTATTAACAGCAAGTATCAAAGCCTTATTGAATTAAACTTGTGTATGCCTTGTTAATTCCTGGGAACTATGAAGCTTTCATCTAAGATTAATTAATACAAACATCACTCGTATACTCAACTCGAACATACGAGGTTAGGTAATTAACTGCCAATTCAATATAAAGCAAATCTGAGCTCTAACAAACATTTTATGTACTTTTTCTAATGATAGAGAAGAACAGTTCACGGTTCACTTGATGGTACATCCCTCAGCCTATAGCATCTAAACAAGACGCGCTTTCGAACTATTTTGGCTTTGGATATTCGGAAATCCTGACTGAAACCGAAACGCGATAAGGTTCACGGCTTTTTCATCTGTTCAGGTTCGTGACCCGGACGGAATTTCTATATTCCTACCCACCCATTTCATATCCTGATTTCCAGATGTCAAGCATGTTTCAGAAATGTATAAATTGAATTATTTGGAACATGCTGGACCTGGTGGGGATCGGACCCACGACCTATTAGTCTTTAGCTATACATTGCCACCGTTAGACTAACGAGCCATGATATAATTGATAAAAAAATATGAAAATGTTGATTAAATTACTATTCAACTAAATTAAAATACGAATAACTTTGTGCGGAGTACATTTATTTTAGTTTTGTGTTTTAGGTCGGTTTTTGTAAAAACATAATTTATACTGCCTATAGTTTACGCGAGTAGTACACGTTTAAATAAAACACTTTAACGGTTTAAAACGCGATATATCATTTTCAAATAAGTTTAACTAATATATCGCGTTTTTAACCGTTAAAGTGTTTTATTTAAAACATATTTTAATTTAAAACGCTTAAAAATGTCTTCGAATTATTTTATATATATTTGTTAAATAAATTGACGGATTGAATTATAACCAAAACGCATGTACGAATAACAAGTTTGGGTTTTAGACTATGCGCTTGATTTAGTTATAAATTATTATTAAATCTTTATTTAGACACTTCGAGTATATACAGTTACTTCTGTGCCACCTGAGTACATTGTTATCTGAATATTATTTTTTTTTGATGTACACACATGTCCACATACTTAGCAGTGCTTTCTGAGAAAAACTAATATTTTCTGATGTTGATTTGTGTTTCAGAAATTGCAGTGCTAAGTATGTAGAAAAAAACCCTATATAACCCCTATGTCTCAGAAACAAAAGATCAACATTTTTATACCCAGGTCATCAGTACTTAACATAATCAAAGCTTCTTCATATAACGACCAATTCAAAACAATGTGGTACACATTCTTAAATTAAAAATGTCTAACAATTTTAGCTTTCACATTTACATTACTTCGCATGAGCTGAAAATTTTATTTTACGATTCGCTAGAGCTAAGCCGGGTACTCATTCACGAGAAATAAGCGTAACATTTGGATTGTCAATAAAAAAATACCGTGATTCGGTCCCAGGTGTTACTAAGTTACGAATATAGCTCGCTAGTGAGTAACTTGCTTTGTAACTCACCTCGCCGAACTCCGTTAGACCATTCGCGGCCGGTTGTTCATTTGAGGAATCAGCCCTGTGGAAAAAAATATAATTAGTTATATAGAAAAGTTGAAAACATTGTATTTTTATATTTACTACTATTTATAATATCCGTGTTTGTTTGATATAATGTGCATGCTTTCAACTTATCTAATCGCCAGCAAACATTGTTATTATAGAAATCTGTCTATAGTTTACGCGAGTAGTACACATTTAAATAAAACACTTTAACGGTTTAAAACGCGATATATTAGTTAAACTTATTTGAAATTGATTTTTAACTTCGGCCCGACCTTTCGGATGATTTGCAGCAGCCCTGGTCACGGGGAGACTGATTGAGATTGATTTTTAACGTCGGGCCGAAGTTAAAAATCAATTTCAAATAAGTTTAACTAATATATCGCGTTTTAAACCGTTAAAGTGTTTTATTTAAATTATAGAAACCTTTTTTTTGTACTTGATTCATTATTATTTCACCAGCCTCTTGATAGACGTTTCTTTCGTCGCGAGTATTTTAAATCATATAATATTGGATTACCATGGCACCTTTTTCTTTCAGTAAATTGGAACTTGGAAATAAAAAGACCTATTTGAACTGGTAGTAAAATATCCGGTCAAGCGAAGTAATCTTCTAACAATACAAACGATAGTCTATTTTTTCTAACTTGGCAAAAGACCACAACAAATATGGCCGATTTCAAACCATAGAGAACTAGTAATGCCCTTTTATAGAGTCGAGTCGTTGCCACACATGACAACGGGGATTGTTATATATGGAGTTTTTCAGCGATCGTGCATGGGTGGGACTTCTACCTTCTATTGTCGTTGACTTTGCTCATATCCCATCCTTATGTAAATGTCAAACTAAAGAATTTATACTCTGACATGTTACGTAAGTTCATCTTTAGGATTTCAGTTAATTGGAGCATGAACCTGTGGATTTTACTAAGTGAAATTTTTGGTAGTTTATTAGCTTACTATATAATCTAATGTCAGTGTTTTTACTGTTAATCAATAAACCTTGTGAGAAAATAACGATTTCATGTAAAATGTGTCTCAAAAGCATATACTTAATATTAGTCTGTGGGTTATGCGAGTAGTAGACTAAAAAAAACACTTAACTAAATAAAATCATAACTACGCCCCGAAGAAACTTAACTACTACTTTCACGTTTTAACCCGTTAAAAGTGTTTTATTTAAATCTAACTTGATTCTCGGTTGTTAACAGAATAACGTACTAATGTCTCGTCTCATCGTATCCGTAGCATTAAATTCCTTCGTGCTATTAAACGTATATATTGGCAGCACAAAGCTCTTGCGGTTTGAACGTACTCGTACTAGAAGTTCAACCCATCTTCGAATGTCGATGCGAGCTCTTAATTAAATTGGCTGAGAATTCTTTACCTACAGAGCATTTGTTGTGTTTCCTCGGTAATAACCTCGTAAATGCCAGAAGACATAGAAATCAACTAATTTTCCGCGTGTACCGGAGGGTGGTAAATATTTGTAACATTTTTATGTTAATCAAAAATCTATTTGGAATGAAGAAGACGACACGGGCAGGACTTGAACGGGAATTCACAGCGTTCCGTGCTGCGGCCCTAACCAATTGGTCAAACATCAGTTTATTCTAGCCCTATAATTTGCGATAAAACGAGTTAAAACATAATTAAAATCGAACCAAAATAAGTGATTCTTTTAAATAAGTTATAATTATACCTTAATATAATATAATTTAATAACTACATAATTATAAACTGGGGCATATTACACATAATTTGTACGATTTTTTTCCCTATCTCGTTTAATACGCTTTTACAAGACGCGATACCAAGGAATCGTCTTAATAGGTCGACTCCATATTTGTTTAGTAATAGAGTGAACTTACCAAGGTGTGTTGCAAGTATGTGTCAGCGTCATATACCGCACCCCAAGCTGATAATAAGTGCGAAGTATTCCGAGGGAATTAGCGATGGAGTGTCCTCCTTCTATTCCAATTAGGGACGCAATCTTCCGAGGTCTGGCGCTGTGAGCTTCCAATATATCTGCGTTCACATCATATGATTATAGTCAATCGTTGGTCTAATACTTATATTATAAAGCTGAAGAATTTGTTTGAACGCGCTAATCTCAGAAAGTGCTGCTTCGAATTGAGAAATTATTTGTATTCTAGAGCTTTGAAAGCTTTGTATAAAGTACGAACGAAGAAACAGGGAAAGTATGTGGAAAGAATGGGGAAAATTTTATTTGGGAGTTGCCGTTGCGTGCGCAGCGAAAACGGTTCAAGGTACCCAAAAAATATGTATTACAAAATGATTATCTTTTAATAACCTAAAAATCTTAACAATCTATATAAATTAAAACTCGGATATAAATTGAAGAAAATTACTACTCGGGCAGGACTTGAACCGGCATCGTCAGCGTTCCTGTTGCTCTAGATGTTGCCCGAGTCGAAAAGTTTGCAACTTATTTTCGATTTTTAAAGTTTTAAATTATTTTTGTCCTTATTTCCTCTATTATATAAAAAAATCTTGTCGAAATTTTAAGATTCTTATGGGGCGGTAAACCTCATTGATGGAACGCGTTACGGCGCCTCTCTGGGTTTCCTTATGCATAAGGCATTAATTAATATTACAATTTATAAATTGTTTAAGTCAATATAAACTCTAGTTTACATAAATACGAAATGCATTTGAATAAATGCATTCCGTTTTCAATATAATATTTCAAAATGAAAAGGTTCTTTCCGTTTCAATGCCTATCTAAGTAAAGTCCCAGTTCCAAGAAATGTCTTGTAATGGAAATTGTTGTAAAGTTCTGTATCATTTCTATTTGGATTCATCTCTTCTGTCATTCTCGTGGATGATTACGTTTGTGTGGCCTAAGCTCTAAGCCCCAAGCCCCAATTCGTTATAGCTCTAAAGCAATAATGTATTTAAATAAAGCACTTTAACATTTTAAAACGCGTAATATATGAGTTAAACTTATTTGAAAATTATTTTAACTACGGCTCAATGTATCGGATGCTTCGGTAGCAATAATATATATTGAGTTTTAAACCGTTAAAGTGTCTTATGTAAATGTGTACTACTAGCGTAAACTACAGACATATGCTACGGTTGCTGATCGGTGTTCATAGATAATTCAACTTCTGTGTCCTACTCGTTTTCACAGGAATAAGTCAGAAAAACCACATTACTACGGAATGGACACAAAAATATGTTAGTGAATAACTTCTTTGTTCTTTTGTTTTTGGCATTAAGTCAAATAGTACGGTTTAACGATCCAGCAACCGAATAGACGCACAAACAAACATCTTTTTATTAATTAGACAATAAATATGTTGTCTGTACATGTGGAAAGAGTAGAAAAACATTTAAAATTATCATCAAGTCTGTAGGCACAGCCTAATCTTTAAAGCACTGCCCAGATCTACTTTAACTTAGTCTGTGTTCTGTCAAAAAGTGTCAGTCTTTTAAAAACTTTTAATTGAAAACAACAAGATATGATAAGAATGTATTTTTTTTAAATTATGAAAGTAGTCTTAACAACATTGTATGGCATGCAATTGACAGAGTAGTGCCTACATTAAATAACACGTTTAGAATTGTGACAGTGTGAGCAGGGCACAGAAGTTAATAAACTGTACGGGAATAACCTTGTTTCGTAAAAGTGGTGCCGAAATGTTCTTAGTTCAAAAATCTTAATATCATTCATTATTTCAACAGCCTGTAAGTTGTACGTATGGTAAGATGTTTTGTACTCAAAAACCTTGGACGATGGACAAAAACAAAGAAGCGCACTAATAGCCAAAGCGTGCCATTGTTTGCTTAAGATAGCAGAAAGTAATTAAAATTACGCCCCCAGACAATTGCTTTCGAGGAAAGTGCGCGATAGAAACGGTGTTTAAAAACAAAAGGTACAAAACAATTAGTCTCTCAGTTACAGGAAACATTGCGCAGCTTTTTTGTCCAGAACCGAAATTGGTTCAACGCATCTTAATTAAATGTTATATGACTGGGTGATTTTCACCTACGAGTGAACTCTATCCTAGTATGTCCTTCTATAATAAAAATAAGTTTCAAGCTAAGCTAAGCTGCGCCAGAGACTTCGCGTGGAATTCGTATTTGGGCATCATAATTCGTTTTTACAAATCTTTTTTTATGAAATATAACTGTTACCTACGACGTCGATCGCATCCCTACGTTCTTTCAATGGGGGTGGGTCGCAGCGTGATTTTTTATAATTAAAGCCTTTCATGAAAAATGGTCTCATCGACTTAAAAATAATTTTAATTCGAACTTCCTGAGAAGAACTCTTCAACTTTATAACATTAGTTTAAACAAATTAAATTGACGGGCTAATGGTAACGCGTTCGCGGTTCGATCTCCGGACTGACATGTTCCTGTATATATGGCTGGGTTATTCCGCCTTTTATTAAGTGAATCCATGCTTGGCTCTCAAAAAAAAACTTTATCTATTCCATTTTCGAATCTGTTTGTCTTTAAAAAAGTTTTCTTCTTTAACAGAAATAACGCATTTTACCTGTAACAGATGTCGCCATTTGAAAGTATTGAGGGTATTTCTCAACTAGTCGCTTAATGACGTCAATTTGCTCCAGAGTGAGTTGGACGGCGTCCTTATTTTGTGCGCTGCAAGGGACAAACGCTGACCAGAACTGTAACAAAGATTTTGGTTAACTCATTTTTAAACCTATACTAAAGAAAACGTAACGAAGATCGCGTTATTTACGGCATGGCATGTACCAATTGAGTTCACACGATTCGCTGCCGGTCCAGGTTTTGAATTCCAATAATAAATGAAAAATCATTTTTTCACGTAGGTAGGTAGGTCAGATTTGTTAGTATAACTTTTTTGTTTCAAGTAGTGTCTGTGACTATTGGAAAATTAAAAAAAGAGCTTGCTCATATTCTTAGTTTGAAGACTTTACCATTCTAAATAGATTATCATAAACATAGTTTAACACCACTAGAATAACAACAAAATGTGTCCGATTTGACAGTGTCATGTTTAAGAAGGCAACTGTCTACTGTCAAGTGACGTATAAAAGAGTCGAAACACTATGTTCTACACATAATATATATGTTCGTTGGAATATTTTAGAGACGTTAATTTGTTTCTCTTTTTTTAATAGTACCTACTTGATACAATTGGGCAACACTACGGTAACTAACTAATTAAATGGACTGTTTTGATCGTTACATATGCCATTCATAACATCTAGATGGTCATGATTCTAAAATATAGGAGAGTAATTAAGTGATAAAGTGAAAATGTCTGATGAAGTGTGTGTAGTTGTTGATATGGGTTCGAGGAGTATTAAAGTGGGGTTTGGGGCCGAGTCATTTCCTAGATATATAGTACCTTCTGTTGTTGGGAGGTGACCTTTACTAATATCAAAGCTTTCATCAAGTTTATTTGTTTGAACGCGCTAGTCTCAGGAACTACTGTTTTTGTTTGTTTTGGATAGACAATATAACGAGGGAGGCTTTAGGCTATGTAATATTACGCGACCGGTCATGAGAGCTACAGACACAGTGGAAAATGTGAAAAAAGGGAAAAATCAGTAATTTTTGAGTGGTCCTTTTGCGTGTACTGTGAAAACGGTCCAAGAAACCAAATAATACCTATGATAGAATGATTCCTCTTTAAATAATCTAAAGAAATGTCTGCGGTACTATATGTCTATATTTTAAGATTAACTCGCAAGAACGACGCGACGTGACGCGGGTGTGGTCGTGGGTGACAGCTAAAATTTATAAAGCTGAGGGGGTTGTTAGCAAAAATAAATAATTGATGCCGTGCACGAAGCCGCAGGCACAGCAAGTATTGATGTAAGAAAACCCTGATAACAGATACAGTATCTTATATCTAATATTTTGTCGTCGCCGTTGCCATAATGACGGTGCTTTGTAAGCCTGGTGCGATTCTTTTGAGAGATTGAGATGGTTTATATTATAAGCGAGTCGCGACCCTACTTCACTCTGTTTGGCATAATATTATTTGTAATCCAGTGAGATTGAACCGATATGGCACTATATATTTAACACTATGTTAAACTTATTTTACATTTCATGTGATTATTTTTTATGTAGTGATTGCGTCGTTCTGTCGACCGGTACGTTCGTTCTCGCAGCGTACGCATCGGAAGCGTTCAAAGATATAGCTTTCCCCGTTTATTCCACACTTCCTTCTCTCTCTCCTATTATCACAGCCTGATGTTATATGCCTATACAAAATATATTTTTTAATTCGAATTAGTAGTTTTTGAGATTAGCGCGTTTAAACAAACAAACTCTTCAACTTTATATTTTGTATAGATAGTTTAAGATTAAATTCAAACACAAGCTAGCTACTATAAACCATTTAGGAGTTTCTTAATCGTTTAGAAGTTATGTGCGAAAAAATGTTAAAAAACATATATATAATTTTATGTGAATCGAATGGCATATAAATATGGAATGGAAATATATATGGCGTTTAAATAAAACACTTTACCGGTTTAAAAGCCGTGGTCACGGGGAGACAGACGTCCACCACGGCTGCTGCAAAGCATACGAAATGTCGGGCCGAAGTTAAACTAATTTTCAAATAAGTTTAACCAATATATATCGCATTTTAAAACGTTAGTGTTTTATTTAAATAATTAATTATTTTTAAAATGTTATATTCCCTATTTTGTATACTACGGCGATACACTACTGAACAGTTTTAGTTTAAACTCACAAAATTAAGCTAAAAAATAAATAGAGCACGAAATTTACTAGATTCCAGCACGAAGTTCTATTAGATGGCGTCCCTGATATATACTTTGGTGCCGAAGCTGTTAAAAAAAGAGGACTTTCGAATTTGACGTGGCCGATTGAAGGCGGAATGATCAAAGACTGGGGGGAAATGGAAAAACTCTGGCATCACATTTTCTACAGGGAAATGCACGTCGCTCCTGAAATATCGCCCACTCTTATTTCCCTACATCCACTTACGAAGCTAAAGGATAAGTAGGTTTTTAGCATTAAAAAATCGATTGTACATTAAAAAAATTACGACACGAGCAGGACTTGACTTGTTGTTGTAGTCCTATCAATTGAGCTAGCGTGTGAATTTAAAAACTTTAAAATTTTTTTACACGTTATTGCGCATGATGGCACTATATAAATAAAAAATCGATTATAGATTGAAAAAAATTACAACACGGGTAGCAATTGAACCGGCATTTTTAGCGTTCCGTGCTGTTGCTTTAACCAATTGAGCTACCGTATCCTACATATCATTGTTCAAGTCCTGCCCTCGTCAAACATTTTTAAATTTTTATTTTACCGCCATCAAATAGAAATATTTCCGCCTCTGTAGCCAAATGGTTAAACGACTTGCCTGGCATTACGTTAAGCGCGAGAGGTCCTGGGTTCGAATCCCAGGGAAACATAAAATTGTTTCGGTCGGGCAGGGCACAGAAGTCTGATCAACTACTTGCCTGTTAAAGAACGGATCAGTAAAATGGATATAAAGATCTGTTTGCCCCATGCCCCACGAGGGGGAGACGGGATTTCACTTTTTTTATATAAAAATATTAATGTTTAGTTTCTAGGCCTTTTGAGCGCGAGAGTCCCTTGTAATTCAATTCCTATTTGGTTGAGAGAAAATGTTGTATACTAAATTCTAACACAGGGAGAAAATAGCAGAAGTAATGTTCGAGTCGTTTATGGTGCAAGACCTGTATTTAGGTGTATCACCAGCACTTGTGCTGCACGCCCAAGCGGTAGAACTACGGGTGTCGTGTGGGAGAGTGGTTACTCGTGCAATTATACTGCCCCGGTGTTTGAGGGGTTTCCTTTGAAACACGCCACCATATGTTCGGAGGTGAACGGGAAGATCCTAACTGAACGACTCCAGAACCTACTTAAGGAAGTTGGATACAGTTTCACGACGCCACGTGAAATTGATTTACTGGACAAACTTAAGGTTTACACAGTTTTATTAATGTAAAATTTACTTTGAAAAGTTCGCCTTTTAGATTAAAAGTTGAAACAAACTTCCTATCTATTACGCCTTCTCTTATGGACATGTAGTTTATTTCGTTATATAGTTGTTTTTTTCCCAAAAAACCCAAAAAAAAAAAAAAACCATTTTTTTTAAAAAAAACAAAAGGGGGGGGGGGGCCGGGGGGGTTTTTTTTTCCCCCCGGGGGGGATTTTTTTTTTCCCCCCCGGGGGGGGGGGGGGGGGGGGGGGGGGGGGGGGGGGGGGGGGGGGGGGCCTTTCCTTGGGGGGGGGGGGGGGGCCCCCCCCCCCCCCCCCCCCTTAAACCGTTAGAAGTTTGTAAATTGATTCTCATTATTTAAGAAATCTTAAAAACTAAGATAACAGTCTACATTGTTCTGTTTCTTAAAGCACAAAAGTTATTCTAATAAAACAGTACGTCCAGATCAAAGACGTGCCCATTTACGTTCCACTTCGCGTGAACGTTAGTTAAGTAGATTGACGAATGTTTTCTATTCTACATTCAAAAGAATCAATTTATTTCAAACCAAAGAATTCTCCTAATGAATTCGTAGCAATTGGAAATAACATTATTATTTAATTATTAAGAAAATAAAATCTACACTTTTGGCGAAGCAGCATAAGTTTTGATTGGAGATATTTAATTGGAGGTTAAGTTGAAATATAATCAGTTTTATATACATAACCAGATTTTTTAATTAATCTAATTTGCTTTTAAATTATAATTCATTTATTAATTATACGTCTCTCTTACTCAAATGTAATTATTGCAGTCAACCTATAGTATTAATAAAAAATATAACATTATTTTTATTATTACAACCCAGTCTCCCATTATCTTTGACCTCGGAAGTCAAGCTGACCTCTCATGACGGAGCAAAATTATTAGTACGATTACGTAACGTATTATTACTCGCTACAATAGGCTGGGCTCGTAGTTAAAATTTAATTAGATGAGACAGCGTTATAGAAGAACTAGCGAACCGCCCCGGCTTCTATCGGCGGCTGTGCTGATACTAAATACACTGCAAAAAAACTGTGAACGTTGTATATAAAAGCCTTCCTCTTGAATCACTCTATCTATTCAAAACCGCATCAAAATCCGTTGCGTAGTTTTAACGATTTAAGCGCACATAGGGACAGGAAAAGCGACTTTGTTTTATACTGTGTAGTAGTCGTTCACTTTACATTATATCAGTCGAGCAGGGCGCAGAAATCCCGCTGCCCCCAGTGGGTCATAGATCGAACATATTTTTGTATACGTTTCTCATCGCTTTCATTTATAACTAAGTAGTTGATCACACCCCTGTACCCTTACCGACCCAAACAATTTATTGTTTCCCCGGGATTCGAACCCAGGGCACCGCAATGTTAGGCAACGCTAAACGTGTTGTGCTATAAAGAAGTAATATTTAAAATAATTTAAAAATAAGTTATCTAATATGATACGCGTGTACACATTTTTAACGGTTTAACCGTTAAAAATGTGTACAATTCGCATAATCTACAGACAATAGTTACCCTAAATCACTTATTGGAAATATGTTTCTATGTAAACAACTCTATAAGAAAATGTAAACAACTCTATAAGAAAAATGAAAATTCTGGGTCTATAAAGAAAATGTAAACTATAGTTTGTTGTAATTTTTTTAAACAATGCTTATTTATTTTAAATAGATAAAACTTCCCAAATTTTAAAATAAAAATTTGTGAAGTATGAAGCAGCGCGGATATACAATATCTAATACTAGCTGTGCCAGCGACTTCGTCCGCGAGAATCGCTATTTTGGGCATCCAAATTACTTTTTGTAAACCCCGCCATCCTTATAAATTTAACCTGATAGTCACGACGTCATTCGCGTCCCTTCCCGTCGTTCTTACAACTTATATCTTAAAAAATAGATGTATAGCGTCGTGGACTTCTTTTTATATAATTTAAAGAGAAATAATTCTTTCATACACATTTTTTAGGTATATTAAACCGTTTTTGCAGCGTACGCATCTAAAACCCACAGAGATGAACAAATTCCCCCGTTTCGTTCACATTTCCCCCTGTATCTTCGCTTCTATTAGTCACAGCGCAATGTTTTATAGCCTATAGCCTTCCTCGATAAATGATCTAACCAACACAAAATATTTTTTCAATTTGAACTCGTCGTTCCTGGGATTAGCGCGTACAAACAAACACACAAACTCTTCACCTATATATTAGTATAGATATAGATTAAACATTTAACAACACAACGCAAGATATTTAACAAAATTATGTGATTTCTATAATACTTCGAAAAATATTTGTGGACTTTAACTACGGCCCCGCATTTCGGATGCTTTGTAGCAGTTTAAATTTAATATTGAAGTTTCATTCGTAACTTTGCATCATCGAAGCATTCAATAGAGAAGCTAGAATAGAATTATGTACAATACGACTTTCTTCTACTATCATACTGGTATAAGATTTTGTATCAATTCTAATATTTTTTTTCTATTACATTGTTATACAATTTCTAATTCATTACTATATAACGGAAGATAAGACCTGATTGACTACTAAGCCCTTAAATGAACCGTTCTGTGAAACGAGCACAGAGCTGTGATGTGAGAAAAATGTGCGTTCGCCCCAAACCCCACGGTGGGAAACGAACTTTCACTAATATCGAAGTATAGTATAGAACAGTAATTTTAGACAGCAAAATTTCTTTTTGCAAATTTCCTTCTCATCTTTATTAATTTAAACTGTAATTTAAATTATATTCTTACAACTTAATTTGAAAAGACATATGCCGTCACAAACATGTTTTAGACGATTAAAAGAGGAATCATTCAATGATATTCTTTCGGTATCTTGAACCGTATTCGGGAGGCACGCAAAGGAAGCCCTCGAGAATAAATACTTTTCCACGTTTTTATCACATTTCCCACTGTTCCTTTGCTGCTATTGATAGCTTACGTTACGGCGTTATGTTTTATAGCCTAATGGCTTTCTCGATAAATGCTCTAGCCAACAAAAATAGTAAATCAGTTCAAAGCTGTAGTTCCTGAGATTAGCCCGTTGATATAAACAAACTTTATAATTTTAGTATGGATAAAGGCCATCCTTTATGGTTTATGTTTGTTCTTTCAGGAGCAACTATGTTACACGGTGAACGATTACGAAGCAGAGTTAGCCAACAGTCCTGTAAAAGATAAACTCCGTTATGAACTTCCTGATGGTCAACACGTTCTCATCGGAGACGAAAGATACCAATGCCCAGAAATACTGTTCCAACCGTCGCTGCATGGACTTAAATGTTCCAATGTGGTCGATAACATAAGGTCAAGCATATCGAAATCAGATTTAGATTATAAAGGTGAATTTTACAGTAATATTGTCCTTTCTGGTGGAACAACTATGTTTCCTGGACTACCTGATAGGCTGTTTATTGAGTTAAGGAAGAGAGCGACAGATGAGCAAGAACTCGATGTGAAGATTGAAGCGATGCCATCGAGACACCTGGCTCCATGGATTGGAGGATCAATATTAGCATCTCTGTCATCTTATGATAATTTTTGGATGACGCGACAAGAATATGAGGACGAAGGGTCTGAGAGAGTGCACTATAAGTTTTTCTAATGAGCCTGTTGAAATTACGAGCTAAATAATAATAAAGTAGCATTATATAGATTTATTTATTGTTTTCTTTTTTAACATTTTTTATTTTATTTATTTGTTCTTATTTTTTTATTGTAAACATTTTGTGTTATGTGTAATTTTGTAATGCGTGTCTGTTTATATAAAGAAGAAGAAACACTCTTACAATTGAATGAAAAATTTTTCGCCATTGCACAGACTACCATTATGTCAAACCGTCATTATTTATTTATTTATTTACAACAATTAAAACGGCAATAGCCAGTTACATTAATTGGAGACACACATACTTAAACAATAACAATTAAAAATAGGTTATTACAAATTACATTAGGAGATAATTTCAAAGGCAGACAGTTCTTTTAGTACAGGTAATATACCTTAGGATTAACCAAATTAGACATGACATACCAATTATAAATACTCTTTGGTTCTGTATGTCAAAATTAAATAAATAATTGTGACACGAGCCATTATGATTCCCAAAACGATTTTGTAATCTTCTGTTATGACACTGTGAAGTTTGCACTAATAAAGTGTAATACATAAATTAAACATAAAATGGCGTTTGAGAAGCCAGCCGTTGTCCTAGATAATGGCAGCTACGTTATGAAGGCTGGATTTGCATGCGATAACCATCCGGTAGCTATGTTCAGGACGTTAGTTGGCCGACCGAGTTATTTGCAAGGGGGTTATGGGAGGGAGCCCTACGATGTCTTCATAGGGGACGATGCTATTGCTAAAATCGATGATTTGGAATTGAGCCATCCGGTGGTGAATGGGGAAATAGTACATTGGGATAATATGGAGAGGATTTGGCACCATGTCTTCTATAGAGAGCTAAAAGCTGCACCTGAGGACAGGGCGGTTATGATGGCATGCCATAATTCGGCAACCATGCAAGAAAAGTAGGTAACAAACACTTTTGAAGGTTTAAAGTGCGAAATATAGGTTGCTTTTAATTCATTTACTTTCCGTGATCACGACTGCTGCGAAGCATCCGAAACATCGGTCTATGTGCACTGCTTTCGTAAACTACAGACAAGACGTAATTATCAATTACTTTTCCCGGCTACTACTATTATGAAAACATCATATTTTTCCCTACGAATTTTTAAAGCACTGTACGTCAGACCTATAGTTGTGTTTTTTAACTACGCCACGAAGGTGAAAAATAATAATTCGTATACAGCAAAAATTAAAGAGGAAAATTGTATACAAATCCAGAGAAGTAGGTACTTATCGCGTGCATAATTCAATTCAGCATTCCCACTTCCAGAATAAAATGCTGCGAAATATTTTTCGAGGTTTTAAATTCACCGGCGCTCTGCATTCAGGCCTTAAGCGTTCTATCCATGTACGGCTCGGGTTCTACCACAGGCATTTGCGTGGACCTGGGTTATGACACTACCGACATCAGTCCAGTCTTTGAAGGGGGGCAAATCAAGTATGCCCACATCCGAACCGGCCTGGCAGCAGCTCAAATATCGAGCTACATAAAGCGGAGCCTCGTCGAGCGCAATTTAGCGCACGCAATAAAAACGCCTAACGACATAGACTGCATATTACGAGAGATATACATAAGTCGTGACTGTGCTATGCCAAGACGGGGTTACGCAAGGGTCTTTAATGGGGCCAGTGGCGAGAGAATCGATCTGGCTAATGAAGCGTTCATGGCTGGCGAAATGCTATTCCGACCGGACACAGTTATGGGCCAGGCGACGAATTATATGCCGCTACACGATGCGGTTGTGACGGCCTCGCTTAAGTGTGACGCTGAGATATGTACGGAGCTCTACGAAGCCATCGTGACGTGCGGGGGATTGGCTATGATACCAGGTATTTCTTTAAATGATAGGCGTTGAAGTTCTGAGAGTACTCCATACCATATGTGTGAGTGTGAAAGACAACACATTGAAAACACATTTCTGTGTCCGTTTCACTGATTAATCAGTTCCTTTAACAGGCAATGATTAGACTTCTGTGCCCAGCCCGACCGAAACATATTTTTTTTGTTTCCCTGGGCTTCGAACCCAGGACCTCTCACGCTCAACGCAATGCTAGGCAATACGTTTAACCATTTGTCTACAGAGGCGGTCATACGATATGAGGCATGGAAAAAATCTGTCGGGTAATTTGCAAAATTTAATAATTTCGCGACGGAAAGGACTTGAAGGGGCATCAACAGCGTACTGTGCTGTTACTCTAACCAATTGAGCTACCATAACCTACAGAGTTATTACACCAGCACGGAACGTCGTGGATGCCGGTTCAAGCCCCGCCCGTAACATATTTCTTTTTTCAATCAAAATAGATTTTTAATTTACGAAACAACTGAGAAAGTAATGCGGTTCGGCTAGTATGAACCGATACTACGGCCGCTGGAAAGCATCAAGTCAAGCCAAAGTGAAATTAAATAAAAAAGAATTTATACATATCGCGTTTTAAACTGTCAAAAGTTTCAAAGTCTCATATTATTTGAAGATTTCAAGAGATGAAATATAAATGACCGTCGTTGTCTGAAATATTCTATAACTTAGCTAGACAACCGCGACGTAAGACTAACGAGACTTATAATTAATGACTTGAAATTCTTTATTCATGCCACAGTCTAGAATATTGCAGATAAATATACTCGAAACATAATCCCGTCGTATTTGTAATCATTAACCCAAGTAATATCTAGAAATGCGCTATTTGTAACAATTTTCAATAATAAGTTGGTATGTTGTAAGAAGTATCTTAGAGCAACAGCACGGAACGCTGACGATGTCGGTTCAAGTCCTGCCCGAGTCGATCATTTTTTTCAATTTATTTTCGATTTTTAAATTAGACGTATCTTAAATAAATTCTTAACACAACGTTTAGTATATTCGTGCAGCTTACATTAATGTTGGTACGCTTAGGGCAAAAATTAACTTGTGTGAGAATTATGTTAACAATTTTCGGTCACTAGGCTCTTGTAGACTAACATTTTTAGACAATGAAAATATAAATAAGTCAAGTCATAAAATTGCAAATAGGCTACTCTGGCACTAGCCGTAAAATAAATGAACGTTTTGCCTTTTGAATATTATTTATTACCAGCTAAAGAATCTAAATAGCGTAAAATATATATGCTTCAAGGTATTAACGAACGCTTACAAATTGAGCTAGAGGAGCAGCTTAACCGGCCCGTCAATATCTTATCGTCGCCGGAAGCTTACTCGGTCGCGTGGCTAGGGGGCGCCACTTTCGCCGGGCTTCCAGATGCTAAGAAAATGTGGATAACACGTAGACAATACGAAGAGCATGGTGTCAAAATAATAAAGAATAAATTCATGTAATCGTGGCTATTTTAATCTAGTTAGAAATTAATAGTATTCTTGCTACAATTGCACAAAACATTAGAAATAAAGAACACATTTTAAAATTAAAACGTCGAATACAGCGGTTTTTTTTTGACTGAGTTGGACGGATAAGAATGGGTCCACTTGTAAGGACATAACTAATAGCCATATAACAACTAAATTAGATGTGTTGTCGGCCTATTTTGGCTTTCGATATTCGGGTTATTGTCTTTCGTGGGCATAATATACGTAAAACTCTAGTTCTCGCCACTTTTCTAAACAAGGTAAATTTAGGGCGTGGACTATTGTCTCAATAAATGTGATAAATTCTTTTAGAGTTTAATTTTTAATGGTGGAAAAATTATAAAGAATCCCCAGAAATAAACCTATTTCAAATAAATAAATAAATTCCGCCCGTAACTATTGCATGCATGTGGTTTACTTGATAGAAGGTGAAATACTGAAAGTATACTGTCTTTAGTTTATACGAGTAGTACACATTTAAATAAAACACAAATAAATAAAACATTTTAACTTATTAGAAACTCATTTTTTTCGGCCCGACGTTTCGGCTGCTTTGCAGCAGCCGTGGTCACTGGGAGACTGGCACAATGATTTTCTAAAAGTTTAACAATATATCGCGTTTAAACCGAAGTGTTTTATTTAAATATTGGAGGTATTTCAAACTAGATGCGCTGTTGACCTCATGTTTGGCTGGATATGCGGAATACAGACTGACGCACGGCTTATTCATCTGTAGGTGGTTCGTGGCCAGCACACATTTAATTTTCAGATTTCGAGATAAAGCCCAAGGTTTTTTTGGGAAAAAAAATTCGTTTGGAAACGCCCCCCCCCCCCCCCCCCCCCTTTTTTTTTTTTGCCGGGAAGGGCCCCCCCCCCCCCCCCCCCCCCCCCCCAGGGGGGGGGGGTTTTTTTTTTTTTTTTTCCTTTTGGTTTTTTTTTTTCCCTTTTTTTTTTTTTTTTTCCCGGGGAAAAAAACCCCCCCCCCCCCGTTTTTTTAACCCCCCCCCCCGGGGGGCCCGGGGGGGGGGGGGGGGGGGGGGGGGGGGGGGTCCCCTTTCTCCCCCCCCTTTTTTTTTTTTTTTTTTTTCCCCTTTTTTTTTTTTTTTGGGGGGGGGGGGGGGTTTTTCTCCCCCCCCCCCCCCCGGGGGGGTTTTTTTTTTTGGGGTTTTTTTTTCTTTTTTTTTGCGGGGGGGGGGGGGGTTTTTTTTTTTTTTTTTAAGGCGGGGACGCAGAAATAATTATTTCAAAAACAAGCAGGTTTTTCCACAAATACTGAATAATAAAATACGTCATTCCGTTGAAGTTACTTGATTACAAACACTTATTATTGTACTCAGCGGCCAGATATGCCACTGCAGCACAATATCTTTCCTAAGGACTATGCAGTTCGGGGAATATGTTATCGGCCGGATGCCTCTTAGCCGGTGATTTAGCTTGTAGTCCCTATTTACTTTAGTCTTAAGCACTCGAATACACGAAAAATGAACTTGTTAATAACTTAAAATTTGTATTTTTATTATATTTAAAATGTAAGGAGACAGCTACTGTAGCTAAATGGTTAAACGTTCGTTAACATTGCATTAACCGCGAGAGGTTCTAGGTACGAGAATCCCGGGGAAACGGGAAACAATAAATTGTTTCAGTCGGGCAGGGCACAGAAGTTTGATCAACTACTTATAATAAACGACCAATGAGCAGTATACCCCAAGCCCCACGAGGGGAAACGGATGGGGGATTTTACTAAATTGTAAGGTGTTTTTAAAATTATTCGAAAAATTCAATTTTTTTTTGTACTGTGGGAATTTTCCGATGGAATTCGATATAGCATTCCATATAGGCAGTGGAAAATATGCACGAAGCCCTTAAACGCTTCAAATATTTTTTTATTAAACGTAACCCGGGTAACATGCGCCCATCGATTTTGGTAAGAGCCTCAAAAACAAACCTTTTTCCTAAGTGAAAAATGTAACCGAGTTTCAATATTTGCAATGCTTCTACATAATTGCTGAAAAGTTAAAATAATTTTTATTGTCTCTTCCATAAACTACTATAGCTAAATAATACTGTCTATAGTTTACGCGAGTGGTACACATTTACATAAAACACTATAACGGTTTAAAACGCGATATATTAGTTAAACTTATTTGGAAATGATTTTTAACTCCGGCCCGACGTTTCGGATGCTTTGCAGCAGCCATGGTCACGGGGAGACCCCGTGTCTCCCTGTGATATATAATGTATCGCGTTTTAAACCGTTAAAGTGTTTTATTTAAACTAAATAATATTCAACTGATTTTATTGATCATAGTGCTCTATATCTTCTTAATATTATTTTTTATTTTATTTTTTATATAATTTTGTCCATAGTGTTGAAATAGCTAAGGACGACGGGGTCTCCCCTTCCTCGGTCAGAAGGGCTGGTCTACTTATTCACATTTTTATGTACTTAATTCATATACTTATGCTTAACTTAACTGATTATTATTTTGCTATCTATCACCCTAAGTTACGTATTATAAATTTAATATTAAATTATTGGAAATCTCAGAATAATTAATCATTTTAATTTTGATAATAAAACATTTCTGTCTCACGATTTCTAAAAAGGTAAGGGGATACTAAGTGTATCAAAAGTAGTAACTTAACGTGTCTGTTACACAGATAAAAAAAATCTTAACGGTTTAAAACGGTACACCTATAAACGAGAGGACACCGTAAGTTATGTAAGAACTAGTATTTTTCAAACACCAATTACGAAGAAACAGATGCCGCTAGCGTAGCAAATTTGATTTAGAAATTAATCATCTAACTTCCCCCCATTCGATACATCGAGCTGTAGTTCAAATAAATAAAAAATATTTAATGTCATCATAGATGGGAAACCAATTCAAAACTATATTTAAAAGAAACAGAAAAATAAAAACGAACTTACGTAAATGCACAGATTAAAATTTATTTAGTTTCACATTTACATAAGGATGGGATGTAAGCGAAGTCAGCAACAATAGAAGGAAGATGTCCGACTCGTGCACGATCTCTAAAAAGCGTCGGGTTTAATAATAATGACATAAAAAGAAAAAGTCATGAAAGTGATTCTGAATATTGGTGTCTTTTATTTCATATATATTGGATATTTCTTCAACCCATCTGTGGCAAAGACTACACTTTATTAACGGGCATCACTAAATCTCTATGGTTTAAAGTCGGCCATATTTGTTGTGTTTTTTTGCCAAGTTAGAAAAAATACCCTATAATAAGTAATTAAATTTAAGTTCAGTGTTTTATGTAAATGTATTGGGACGATGAGACTCGATTACTCTCTCGGCAGAGCCCAGCGAAATTAAAAATGTAATACTAGCCCAGTGTCCTAGTAGGAGAGTTCGTTATCTCCTTGAATTATTCATGCACTACCGTGACATAGCATAGAATTAGCATGTTGTAATCTGGTCCCACACAAAATTGTCACGAGCCCTAAAACGGGTTTCATTGTTACATTCATGAAGCGATTTGAGCTTTTGGGATTCCCATTCAATAAACATAGTTCGCACTTGAGTGGCTTGTAATTTTGTATGACAATTTGAATGCACGAGTTTTAATTTGACCGGGTCCACAGCGTGCTGTGCTGTTGCTGTAACCAATATTTTCTTATTTATCTCAATCTATAACCGATCTTTAATTTATGTAGTCACTAATATAATGTATGATAGCCATATGATGGCACTATATTATACTTCCATCATATGTAATAACACGCGTCATATATATATATATATTTTGGACGGGTTCATTGGTGAATATATAACGGATTTTGGTCACGAGTTTTTAATCAATTTGTATTTTTTTCTGAAACACGTTGGACGTCATCTGGAAATCTCGATATTAAATGGTCGATCGAAATCGTTCGTTCACAGCTGAAAGACCCGTGAAGCTTTGTAGATTTCAGAATATCCTTTGTCAAAATAAGTCGCCAGCACATTTTAATTTGATATAACATGGCTGGGGTGCTTCATCTACCATCCAGGGCACCCTATGCCTGTCCTCTGCGACCTGGATGGAATTTCGATATTCCTACCTCCCATTTAATATCCAATTTTCCAGGCGAAGTCCAACATGTTTCAAAAAAAATATATAAATCATTTAGAAACATCCTGGACCCAGTAGAGATTGAATCTACGGCCCGTTAATTATTGCCTATACATTACTCCAACGAGAATTGAAGCACCAGAATACTGATGAAACAAATTCAAGCACTAGGGTAAATAAAAACAGATACAGTTCTCGAATTGTGTATTACGTCAGCTATTGATATGCAAATAAACATTTGCTTCGAGTACTAGTGCAGTTGAATTTGAATCTCGAGAGGATTTCTTTTGCATTAAACATGATACCATTCAAATAGCGTGACCTGTTGCATATTCCCTGTTTAATATTATTAAAAGAGATTCATAGCATCACATCAAGTTGTTTCAGAGACTTTAATAGCGCTCCTTTGAACGGCGGAAAACGAAATTGGTATGTGAAAATTATTTTCACGTTTTCCGCTAGCGAGAGCTGAGCTTCTTATTGTCGTACATAAATTTAATCTTCGCTTTAATAGCTCGGGAGTTTTGATGGAAAATAGTCTTAACTACTTGTGGAAAACCAGAATTTGTATTAAAATTAGAAGATTGTAGAAGTAAATACTGTCTAAAGTTTACGCGAGTAGGACACATGTAAATAAAATACTTTAAGGGTTTAAAACGCGATCTAGTATTAGTTACATTGGTCACATTCCATTAAGTGTCTTTGCTCATCTATCCTTCTCTATCGTTAAAAACATTTAGTTAAATATTAAACTATATTGCTAGTAAAATGATAAAAATGCTTGGGGTATGGAAGAAGGAGTGGCGGCGAGTTTCTTGCCAGGTTCTCTCGTTCGTTCTACGCCTTTAACTTGGGAACTGGTAGTAAATGTAAATTTACAGTTTTTAATTTTTAACTATTTTGACGGTCATACGTTTATAATCTACCTACATTTATACATTTTTGATTTATTACTAACAAATAGACCTACAGTTAATATGGAATATCTAACATAACAGAACATATAATACGTCTTATAGTGTAATGATATTTTTATGTTACGCTTGTCAAAATGTAACTCACCTGTGCACCGACCATTCCCTGTCTCAGCCGAGGTAAATCTGTATGGGAGTACTTGGAAATAGACCATGGCTCCACTTGAGTCAAGTCAGTGTCCAGCTCGAATTCATTGATTTGATTCCTTAAGAATTTTCGTATGTTCCAAGGGAGATCGTTGTGCCTAAGTGGAGAAAATGACTTTGATAACTCAAATCAAAAGTGCCACTGTAATATATATAACTACTGTCTATAGTTTACGCGAGTAGTACACATTTAAATAAAACACTTTAACGGTTTAAAACGCGATATATTAGTTAAACTTATTTGGAAATGATTTGCCGCAGCCGTGGTGACGGGGAGACGTCTCCCCGTGACAACGTCATCCGAAACATCGGGCCGAAGTTAAAAATCATTTCCAAATAAGTTTAACTAATATATCGCGTTTTAAACCGTTAAAGTGTTTTATTTGTATATATATATATGTAGCTGTTAAATAAATTCATATATATTAAAAACCGATTATAGATTGAGAAAATGTATGACACAACACGGTTCACACTTTCGCGGTTGGAGCTACAGCACGGAACGCTGTAGATGCCGGTTCAAGTCCTGTCCGTGTCGTTTTTTAATCTATAATCGGTTTTAATGGTGCCAACGTGTGAAAAATATTAAAGGTTTCAAAAATTGATTCGTACTTGAAGCAACTACATACGAGATATATGTATTATTTTATTTTTTTTAGATTAAAAAACAATTTAAATAAAATATTAAGAGATGGAACATAATCCTATTCGGGTTTTCCATCCACCCGAAGCTCGATACAAAATATAAGATTATGCAATTAAAAACTTATATACTATACTTTTTTCATTATAAAAAATACATATACTATACACGAGGCTGCCAGAGTTAGGGTGGCCTTATAACAAATAACATGTTTTTCAATAAGGAGGAAAATAAAAATATGCAATTAACTTAGGCGAAAATTAATTTAATCTATTATTTGTGTAAGAATTATGTTAACAATTTTCAGTCATTGTGTTCTTGTAGATTAACGGTATACTTGTAGATTACGTCATAAAAGTTGAAGTTAGGCTACTCTGCCTCTAGCGGCCTCATATTGGATTTTCAAGAGATTGGGAAAGAATCTTTAATAAGCTGAGAAGTGCATAATTTGAAATTAATTTCAATTATCAATTCACGATCTACTTAGCATCCTACCCGTCCGTGAGTGGTACTTCTTCTAGAATCTGCTTGGCTATTTCAAGTCTCTCTCGATCGTAGGAGGCAGCAGCCACCACGGCCACGACAGCAAACAGCACAAACGCAACAGCTCTTCTCTCGTTCCCGTGGACTACACGCACTGGAAACCAGGATTCACATTATTTTTCATGTTTAAAGACCAAGAAGGATAAAGTTTAACTGGTGAAAGCCGTATAGCATCTAATCAAGATACGTTCTACTATTTTGCTTTTCACATTCCAACTCGTAATTCTTTTATTAAAACCCTTTTATAACATATTGCCCAAAAGAAAAGAACAAAAACACAAACGAGACTTACATACTAAAAATATAGACGGCCTTATCGCTAACAAGCGATCTCATCCAGGTAACCCACGATAAAAGGATGGAAAGTGTACGGTAAAAATGTGCAAGGTGGGCGAAATAAAATAAACTTCAAATAGTTTAAATAATACTTTTAACTGTTTATAACGCCAAATATATTAATAGCATTTGAAATGTCCGTAGTTTTAATCAATTAAAAATAACTTAAGTGATAAACTTCGCGGTTAAAACCGCTTATATATATAAAGAAGAGTTTATACTCCTAGTTTTATATATAAGCTCCGGCTTCGAAAAATGCGTTTAACTGCATGACACTGTCACAATATTGTTGCAAAGCTTATGAAGCCGTAAGCAGGTGTTCGAAGAATACTCGATGCAGCGTTTTACTTTACTTTGCCTTTTTAATACAAGTAGCGCTTAAGCTTAACGTAATTTCAAAATTGGATCCCTTTTATATTTCGAAACTTTAAGATTATGCACATGATGGCATTATATAAATTAAAAATCTATTTAGATTTAAATAATGTATGATACGAGCGGGATTTGAACCACCTACGATGCCAATGTGAGCAACGTAACTCAATTGGTTACAGCAGCAGCACGGAACGCAGTGGTTGCCGGTTCTAGCCCCACACTTTTTACGTGGTTTATCTGTTCCCAGAGATGAGAGTGGGGCTTCTTATTAAATCGTGTCTTCAAAAACTAGATAGACAAGTTAGTTCGTCCATCAAGGCCTAGTTACAGTCAAGGCTTATATTGTACATTACTCAAGTAACGCGCGCTTAAACTAAGTAGGACAATTCAGAACTTTAAAACCAATGACGAAGCTGACGAACAACTAATAGCAAGTTTTTTTCACTTAACAGCTTTCTTCTTGCAAGCCAGTTCCAAATTTAAATTAAACCTTTAATAAGTTACATCTTTGGTGGCCATGTTGCGGAGTAGATCGTTCTATTTTTAAATCATTATTGGCCACAACAGACAGATATGAATTTTCATACAAATATTGCCGGCCGCTGCTAGACCAGTATAGCAAGTTTAATTTATCTCGCAGGAGATTGTCAAAATAATGCTCAAATTACTAAGCATGTTTAAAATTACGGATTACCGATGTCTAGCTAGCAATGTTACTACTACATTGACTTCAAAGTTTAAAGTTTAAATTTCCACTATGTTTATTGTTAGTTAATTTCTTACCATCTTGCATTAAATTCAAAATCTCATTCACAGATTAAAAAACTTTTAAGGCAGTCTACAAATAATTGTAATAAGCCCAAAATAATGTAGAAACTTATTCTGAATTGCAGGTTTGGTTAGTTAATTAATTAAGACTCCTACCTCCTACTACAGTGACTAGACTTAGTTGGGGACTATATTTGCGTTTCCTGTAAGATATGTTTGACGGGAAAATGCAAATATAGACTTAGTTAATAATTACCTCGATATTATTAACATTTACTTTGCTTACCAGCTTAGTATATATGGTGCTAACGTGAGTGTGTCTAACGAGTAGTAAAGTATTATTACTTGTATTTTCCTTGTCGAGGTCTTGGCTGTGAATCTCGGCAAAACGAGCTTATGTATATGAAGGCTGATTAGTGATGTTTTATAATAGAGGAAGACAAACGAGCATGGGGGGGGGGGACCATGGGGCATACACAAAATGCGCTGTCGACCTATTTGACTTTGAATGGCTTTATGAAGTAAGTTTTGTCAAAAGTTGTTGTTTTAAAAACCGTTTTAACGGTTTAAAACTCGAAATTTATTAGTTAAACTATAATTTAATGGGACGGGGGAATCGCGCTACACTGCTGCAAAGCGTCCAAAACGTCGGGCCGTACATAAATATTAATTAATAATTTTAACTAGACTAGTATAATTCACGTTTGAACAGCTAAAACAGTTTTAAGGAAATATAAAATTGTTGTTTGTTTTTCCCTACCCAATAACTAAGGTACCTCTATAATCAAGATCGAACATCATATGCTGTAACTTTTGACTGTTTTGTAAGACTACTTTTTCTAAATTAATAGTAACACGGTATGATCACACCTATAGTCGGAACTAGTTATTAAATGAATATTGCTCAGAAACTTATCAATACGCAGATGAGAGCAATAAGAGGAAATCGCCTCACATCGATATATTCCTGAATCGGAAATGAAGTCACAATGACCAGTGGAAGGAAGAAATACGTTTCAGAAATTGAATTCAGAATATTCCTTTAAACTTGTACACGTTTTCACAAATAAACGAGCTCCATACGTTAAACATATCATTTATTGTTATTTTAAATGTCTTAGTTATTAACGAATGACTGTTAACGCTTTAGAACTAGCTAATGCCTCCAAATATCAACTACGTCAAAACAGATGGCGCTAGCATAGAAGATTTGCCTTTAACTTTCAAGGACCTTTAGTCCACCCGTAACCATAGATACTACAAAGCTTCGGAAATGAATTAGAAAAAATAACTAATATATTTTACATTTTAAATCGTGAATAGGGTTTTATACAGGGTGTGATTGGAACAGTTCTGAAAACGTTCGAAGGCTAAAAGGTGTTATATGATGCTATTTATTTTCAATTATTTCAAGATTTTTTTCAAAGTTTAAAATACAAGTATGAAATGTACAGCGTACAGCCGAGAAGCATTATTACCTACGCGCCCGCAACACGTTTTGTGATCAGCTGATCATTATTTATTTATTTCAGTATTTTTTATTTTATCTTGAAGTATAGTTGTAATATTAGAAAAACATATTAAATACAACTTTAAAGAAAAAACCACCGAAGCAAAACCACAATTAAAAACTACATAAATCCCTATCGCATTACTAAAGGTGCTGCTAAGAACATTAACATAATGCCATACTCACGTGCTGGTTACAAAATTTGTGTCAGGCATTTTAAATAAAACGGACACACCACGAGAAATCATTTTTTGTTTAAAGTTGCTTGTTTGTTTTCTGTATTTTAACATGACATGTTTGTATTGGTTTTATTTTCGTATCGAGTCTTTCGAACAAACGCAAAACAATTTGTATCGGTGTCCACTTTTTACCATAAGATAGGTACAAAAAACGTAAATATATTAATATTCGTTAATATTCTTCTAATAATACTATACGTTACGCTTAACTATTAAAAATTGTAGTCTATGCTATTCCTTTCATCACAATAACATAAGAGGATACCTAAAATGATCAGCTGTTCACAAAACTTCTGCGCTGTACGCTGTACATTTCATACACGTATTATAAACGCACCATATAACACAATTTAGCCCCTATTATATGCCCTCATAATTATTTAGAACTGTTCCAATTACACCCTGAATAAATGTATAGTCGCGTATACTATGTATTAACAATCTTTACTAGTATTATAAGAAAACGATTTGTATTTTTATGTGTATGTTTGTAATGAATAACCCAAAAACTACTGTGCCTATTTACTAACCATACATCCTTAGAAAGATTCATTCACCCCGAGTAATGTAGGTTATATTTCTCGCTAGAAAAGATTAGGGATCCTTTCTTCAGTATTACAAGGGGGGGTTTTTAAATGTTTTCAAACCCGTGTAACCGGGGCGGACTGCTAGTACTAAAAATAACAAAAGCCGTATTTCGGTTCGACTGCGACGACATTGATTAAAACAAAATATCATTAAAATCATACTTATATAATCGACAGCAGAAACGAATAAATAAAATGTGTCATACAATTGTCGTTACCTTGTTAATTAATTCTGGATTTCTATCTAGATTCTAGATTTAAATAAAATATTTGAGAGATCAGCTCGTTAAAATTGAAGTAAAGATTATTTTTTTAAACTTTGAGCTACGGCCCGATGTTTCGTCGACGTTTGTCTCCTCGTGACCACGACTGCTGGAAAGCATCCGAAACGTTGGGCCTTGGTTAAAATAAAAACGCGATAAAATATATTTATTTTAAAAAAAAATTAACTAATATATATCGCGTTTTAAACCGTTCAATTTTATTTGTATACGTAAACTACAGACAGTATTTCGAGTGAATATATCTTTTGACGCCGTAACTGACCGTACATAATAAATGAAAGTATTTCGAATCCGCTGAGTAAATGAGTCAAAAACTCGAGGTTCCCCATTCTCTGTTTCATTTTAATGCCATTGTACTCATACAATGAATAATTAAGGTGAATTTTATAGTACCCTATTCACGTATAATAACCTTCATTGAGCTTCACAATTACGTCTATTTTTGACCTACTTCCAATTACTGTATGAGCTTAAAGTTATAAAAAGTATGAATTTATTAAATAAAAATAACAAGAACAAATAAGAACTGTGCCAGCACCTTCGTCCGTGTAAAAAAAAACTTATATAATTTTTAGTTCCCAGCAGTAGTTCAACAAATAAACTCTTCAGCTTCATAATATATTAGTATAGATAAAGATGGAAAGGTTTGAAAATATTATGATGCCAAAAAAATTACATCGCCACCATTAGAGTCTCAAAATCTCGATATTAAATGGATTATCGAAATTCCGTCCGAGCCACGAGCCACCGTCCACAAATGAAGCCGTGATAAATAACGTTTTGTTGAGTGTGGTTTTCCGAATATCCAAAGCAAAAATAGATCGACAGCGAATAGTGAAGATTCCATGAAGTGAACTTGACGTCCATCCTGCATGGGCATATCTACCTCTATCGTGAAAAAATATTATTAAAGCTAATAAAATGTTACTTTTTTTGTGGAAATCCCGTTTCCCGTTGCTTTCCGCTATAAGCTTTAAGCCGATGTTTGCCATTTCATGATTAGAGTAATAACATGGAGTATTAATAGATTTTTATAGGAAATCCCTATTTGTAAATAATTCTATGCAAATTAGTAAGTGTAAAACAATGGAGAAAAGTGCGAATTTTAGAGTGTTCTCTGTATACTTTAAACTAGTTGTGCTCGTGACTTTGTCCACGTGTTATACTTCCACATACACACGCTTATATAATTATTCATTTCCCTCTGTCTCATTTCTGTTATTGGTCGCAGCCTGTTATTGTATAGCCTTTCTCGATAAATGGTCCAACCAACATAAAAAAGTGAATTTGAACCAGTAGTTCCTGAGATTAGTTAGTGCAAACAATCTCTTACCTTTGTATATTATTATAGATTCTGAGTTAACAAAACCCCCCTCCTCCGTTTTGCCAAATTCTTTCCTGGTTAAATGTTTACAAGGAAACAAATTTCCTACTTCTTTGTAATATATTGTCATATATCAAACCTCGTCTTTATAAATTTAAGCTTTTACCCAGACAAGTCCGTCCCGTCTTCTGGCAAGTTATCCTTGAAGATACACATATACTGTCGCGGACATGTTTGTAGACCACTTAAAGAGGAATCATTATTTAATTTAAACCAACTCTCCAGCTTAATATTAGTATAGATATTTTAAATAAGTTAATTAAAGATGGAATACGCTGTAAAACCTCGACCACTAATGAATTTACAACGTAGAAATAGCATTTGCGAAAATAATATTCATATAAGCTTCGCAATATTAAAGTGCATTAAAACTGATTTAATTAAGGCGTTTGATCGCAACGTAGTTGTGTCTGATAACGAACTGTATTTCATATTTTAGGAAACTCGAATACATTTAAGGTAATGTTTTTAACTAGATACCACTTATATGTTTGGCGAGAATGAAGAAGAAATAAGTATTTAAATAAAACACTTTACGGTACACTTTAAAACGGTTTAGAACGCGATTTATATATCTTATAGATTTATAGATTTGGATATGGCTACCACCCATATACTATCCAAATCCAGAAGTTGGTATTTGGAGAAACGACGGGTCCTTGTGGAATTGACTAAGGATGTCTTCGCGTTTGCTGGTATGCTGTTTTTTGGAATTCAGAGTTTTAAACCGTTCAAGTATTTATTTGAATTTGTACTACTCGTACAGGTACTATTAATTATAATTTAGTTATAAGGAAAAATGTTTGATTCGTTTTCCACTTGCAAACCGTGTACTGTATCTTAAATGTTTGTTTTTGGTGTTTATATCTCTTATTTTTTTAACTTAGTGTTCCAATAGTTCACACAATATAGGCTACGAATTTCATATTAAAACAGGAATTGTATTGAGGCTTACTTCTCGAAATAAACTTGGGTATCCTTGTTACCCGACGTTGTTGGTGACCTGAAACAAAAATAAAAG